GTTGAGCACGTTTTCCAAGCATAGTTCAACATTATTGCTATTGCTATGGTTTATATTGGCAGATATCCAAGACAAAACATTACATCTGTCTTGGGCAAAAGGATCTATCCTACAATCCTCAAGTTTTCTGAAAGTCTCTCTTCTAGAAAATGATTAAGTACACTGTAATACAAAGTTCTTTCAACAGCCATCATCTTTTCTATTTTTTTTCCCCTTCCTCCCTGATATTCACATACAACTCAGGCTCCACTAGTTCAATACTTAATAGAGCCTGTGAGACAAATATATCTTATTCATGGTCTTTTAGACATCTTCAAAAATCATTGTCTGGGAAAAAAGAAATCCAATGTCTATGGAATTATCTCTTTTTGTCTTATCTATAGAAATATTACACAACTGAAGAGATTTCACATGAGAAACTATGTTAAGTAACAGTTTTATTTTGTCTGCAGTCAACTTAGAGTCCCTTCCCACTAGCTACCACCCTTCAGAAGCTTCTGTATTTTGGCATCTCTTTATGGGATCCCTGGGCCTCCAGAATCACCACCCTTACTATTAGATCATGATAGTAATAGCTGACAACTTCTGGGATTTGTGTTGTCTTCCAGGAAGCTCGTTACTAATAGCAAGGATGACTCATTTTTGTTTGGGTTCAGCACTTGAATTAGCTTCTCAAAAGGCAGCTAGTCTGTTGTCTAGAACTTCCTCAAAGCATTGCTGTGGAGATGTTTACTCCATGGCATCCTGAAAAATCAACGAAATCCTTCCATCCCAAGAGAAATGAAAAGTTTAAACCTCACTCTGCTACTCTTGGCTCCTACTTTTATGCTCTGAGGTCCTACAGTCGATGCTCCTGGATGGCAAACTCAGACTCGCTTTTGGAGTTTGGCAGACACGAATTTCTTGAATCCCACCAGACTACAGAGGGGAAATGAATATCCAGATGAATTTGAATCTGGAGGATCTCCTCTGATCCTAGTCAAATTCAATGACATGCTGCCAATCATCCCTTTAAAGGGGATATCTGTCATGGGGCAACACTGAAAAATGTAGGAAGCCTTCTCATTTAATTCTAGAGGCTGGCATTAATAAAACCCTTCTGTGTATAAATGGCATAAAAGGTACCTGCCAGCATCTTCTGAAAATTGTTTTTAGAGTGGGATTTCAGATGCCTATTTAAAGGATGAAAATTTATATGGGCATACTTTTGATTAAGTGAAAACTTGCTACCATGTGTCAAGACACAAACCAGTAAAAGACAGTGCAAATGATCTCTTCTTGTTCATTGTGACTATTTGCTTTTATGGCTTTGGATTTTTTTCCCGCTGAAAGCAGCAATATTGAGTTCAAATTTATAAATAGATTTTTCCCCATGGACGGAAGAGTAATAACTCCTTTAGTGTCATGTCAGATTATACTCTAAGAGTCATGAATTATCATGGCAGTGATATTGTAGTGCATTAGGAGGTAAAATCATAGGGTTGTCAAAGTGTGTTTTCCTTTTACTGTATGTTCTTGGCTTTTGGGGTGGAATTTAGAGAAAGACATGATGGAGAGAAAGCCAGTTCCCAAAGCTGATCTAAGATTTCAAAGTATTTTTCAAACTAAGATTTAAAACCTTCATGGCAGAGTAATTTTTGACTGAATTTCCTGGCCTTAGGTTCACCTGTTTTTAAATGCCAAACAAATTTTCTTGTACATATGTGTTGCAAATTTCTAAATCTATACAACTGCTCTTTTAGTTTTATATTTTTCACACTTATAAGAAGACTTTCATGGGTGAAATCTTTCTTGTGCTAGAGTTAATTTTACCATTGACATTATAAAATAAAGGATTTACTTTAGGTTATGTTCTCTAACTGCATGGGTAGCAGTATCAAGTAAGGGGAGGGATGAGAACTGAGCAGATGCAAGCCTTAAACTTGGCTTCATTATGTAGATGAACAAAATCGTTTAGTCCCAAATTTTCAAAAGGATCCTCTAATTCTCAGTACTTGACTATCTAGCTTTAGAAAATCAATCCTACTTCTTCCAAGCAGCAAATAAAGACATGTCTGGAAATCAGGGTTTACATATCTAAAGCTGGGCACACAGAAAGACATTCGTTATCAGGATGCATCTAACCCTCAGTATCTCTGTTCCTCAGTTTCCCTCTTTACAAAATAGAGTATTTCCTTAAGGAAATGACAAAGAGGAGTGGAAATCTAAGACACCATGCAAAAATTCTGCATTTATAGCATGGACTACAGAAAGACTAGGAAATTCCAGAATCAGACTTGCTGAATATAGCATTAAGTTTGTAGTTTCATTAGACTGGGACACTCAGACATCCAGTTTGACTTACACAAATACAAAGCTAAATCAGAAATGATGTTTCATGAGAAAAAAGTATCTTAAAGCTCTGTTTCAAATGTATCACTGTATAACACCGTGAAGCACTTCAGTGAGCTAGTGCTTTGAATTTTTTAGATTAACATGAATGTCTCTGTCCACTCTCCTGCCTCCCTTTTTAGGTCACTTGTTTTCTGCCTGTCATATAAAGGAGTTATTTCCTTTTCTGTCAATTCAGACTGAAAAAAAGAATGACATTATTTAAAATGATATTATTAATTTAACTCAGACAAGAACTGAAAACTACTTTTCCAAGACTCAATGTTTTCATGACTTGCAGCTGGTTCTAAAAAGCATGAAGTTCTGTTTACTTGTGTCTGTCTGTCTTTTCATAGGCATTACTAACATTGGTAGCATTTCCAGAGATGGAGAAGTGGCAGAGAACTACTCTGGGACAGAAGGATTACATGTGATTGAGGTGGAGGCCCCTTGGTGTTGTAGGGAGGGAGTGATATTGTATAGACTCACTTTAGAATAGAATAAATCTTGTGGTTAAAAATTAATGAGAACAAAGTAAATGACATCTTGTTATCTGTTGTCCTTCTGTTATGTCGAAGCATCTTGTTATTTGAAAACATCCCATTGCCTGTTAACCCTCAGTCAGGCTGAGACTTGAGATAACTTGAGTCAACTGTCTGTTACGTCTTGTTAACTGAGACATCCTGTTATCTGCCGACCCTTAGTTAGGCCGAAAGCCAACTCAGCATTTTTACAGCTTGGAAAACAACTGATTAAGCAAAAAGTGAAAAGTGTATCATGAGGAAGACCTATAGCCTTCCTCCCAAAGACCACTGCCCACATCCCAAAGACCCCGGCCCACAATTCTTGGAAGGCTTTGCGCAAGCGCAAGGACTGATAAGCTAATTAGCATATGAAGCGAGAGTAGGCAGGGTTAGGTAATGAATATGTATAGGTGCTAATAGAATATTCATTGTTTTGCTGTATAAATATGAGATAGTTTGTCACGTCGAACATGCGCGATAGGTGGAAAGATCCCCCATGCATCCAGTGCTGCAATAAAGAATATACCACCTAAGGAAATTTTGGCTTTGATCTTTAGATCAGGAGGAGGCAAAAAAGAAGGTCCTTCTCTCTTGGGCAGTGCATATGAAGGAGGTTCTGGACCATATATGGGAAGGAGCCATGAAACAATGAAAAAGGATTAGGTCTCTTTTAGCTTAGATCAAAATGAAATATATTGTTTATTGATTTGATGTATTTTAATATATACCACTTTCCCAAAACATATGTACAAAAAGCATGGGTTACTGTTTTGAAAGGCACACCTACTCTGCAGACAACATCTCAGAAGCCAGGCAAATTAAGAGCTGCTTTGTCAAAATTACTTAGTGCAAGATTTCTCTGTTGCATTTCAGAGTGTAAAAGTACCAAATTACTCAGTTTTAAAACAGAAGGATTCCCCAGTCTTTGTACAAGCACCTACTGCCTTTTGCCTCTCCGTTAACCTGTGTGCTTGTTCTCTGAAGTGGCAGCAAGGCATCCATAGGGACCCGCAGTGTGACTCGAGCACAGAGCAAAGCAAAGGAAGAGCTGAAATGGGCAGATGAAAAAATTACAGAGGAGGCAAATGAAAACAGAAGTCCAATCAGAAGTAATTTTATTATTTTGAAAATACACCTAATCAAACAAACTTGATTTAATTCTATGATTAAAATATCCAGAAATCCAGCTATATTCTGGACTGCATCAAAAGCAGTGCGGCCAGCAGGGTGAGGAAGGTGATTCTCCCACTCCGCTCTGCTCTTTAGATATTTGGAAGAAATTATTCACTGTGAGGGCGGTGAGGCCCTGGCACAGGCTGCCCAGAGCAGCTGTGGGTGCCCCATCCCTGGAGGTGCTCAAGGCCAGGCTGGATGGGGCTTTGGGCAACCTGGACTGGTGGGAGGTGTCCCTGCCATGGCAGGGGGTTGGAGCTGGGTGGGCTTTAAGGTCCCTTCCAACCAAAACCATTCTGTGATTCTGTGATCTATCAGTGGATAGGGATGACCATACAGAAATAGAAGTATGTGACATTTTGTTAAAGATAATAATGCCACATAATAACCTGACAAAATTATCATATTAACTATTGAACAGTGAAAACCAGTTTGGAACAGGTCGTAAAAACACCTGCTTCCATCACTGAATCACAGGGTTTCTAGTGGGCTTCAGTGACCATCAGCGCTAAACACAATACGGCTTGGTACTTTATTTTCATCAGTGATGTGCAAGAAAATACAAAACTACTCTTTGGTAAAGTTTCAGAAATGACAAAGATCTGCAGTGTTAAACAGAGACTAAGCAGCTAAGTAAGCTGGATTGCGATGCAGGGAAGTACAGGTGGTTTTAAAAAAAGGATCTGACAGAAAAATGTTTTAGCTACACACCTGTGCACAGAATTATAGCATTTGGGGGGGGGGGGGGGGGGGGGAGGCAGCTAGGCGAAGTGTAATAGGATACACCGGCGATTTTATTTTATTATTTGGAGTTTTTGTGGTTAAGAGTCGTACAGAGACATGGAATTACAGTGTAAATTATTAAAAAAAATAAAAATAAAAAAGGGGGGGGAGAGAGCCTCGGGCTTGGCCCCCGTCACCGCCCCTGCCCCGCCGCCACCGCGGGAGGGCCGGGCGAGGCGCGACATGGCGGCGGCGGGCCGGGGGCCGGCGGCCGAGCTGCGCGGGGTGCTGCTGCCCCCGCGGCGGGACCCCCGGGGCTCGGAGGACGGGGACTCGGAGGAGGAAGAGGAGGAGGAGGCCGAGGAGGAGCTGCTCTTGGCGGAGGCCGCGCTGCTGGAGGACGCCGGGAGGGAGATGGCGGCCGCGCTGCCCCCGCGCCGGGCCGGTGAGGGGCGGCGGGGGGCGGGCGGGTCCCGGTTCTCCATCTCCGTGTCCTCCGTGTCCTCCTTGTCCCCCCGTGTCCCTCCTTGTCCCTCCTTGTCCTGAGGTGGGCGCCCAGCTCCTCCTCCGGGGAGGCCTCTCTGAGGGAGTCGGGCGGCCCCGGTGCTGAGACCTTTATATCATTCCTATTTCCTTCTTAATTTTAAAGTAATCAAGCCCAGACTCCCCAGATACTGATTTTGTGATAAGATAAGGTAAAGCAGTACAAAGTAGTGGTGAATCCCACACAGGTAGCAGAAGGAAGTGTACACACGCAGTCCTATGACCACACATGGCAAAAGTAAAGAAGCATAAAGTTTTCACATTCAAATTATGTTTTTATTTTATTTTTTTTAACCTACATGGCATGATAGTTGGCCTTCAAGATTCCCTAGGTCGAGTACTCAGGCTGGTGACACTGGAGCAACTTGTGCTTAGCAGAAATATTTTATCCATAAGTTGTTTAAAAAAACCTGCTAAATTCAGCTGGGTAGCACGGGGAAAATACACAGAAAAAAATGTCATAGGCCTAACATCTGCAAACACCGAGGATCTGTGTATTACTAAATGAATGAGGGAGAGAGGATGGACAGAGGGAGCAAGCCAGGTCATGCAAAATGTTACAGGTTATTATTTTGGAGCTGTTAGTTGCTTATAATTTTGGCTGGTTCAGCTGCAGGAAATACTTGGTATAGAAATGTGTCCAAAGAGCATGCAGGCACCATGGTACAACACTCTGTGACAAAGTTGTTCAGGATTGAATTGCACACCATCTTGGCATAAATGTCATAGTGTTAAACTACATGTTTGTGTCTTTAATTGATTTGATAAATATTCATAGACATGTTTAATTTTGTAGCTCTCACACCTAGAGAAGCCATTTTCCTACTTGTTTCTGAGGTTGGATGTACTCATTTTTAAATACTACAGGAAAGACTGAAATTAGGAATTTTATGAAAACCGTGCTTCTTTACTTTTATTACTGTAACTTATCATACAAAAGATAAAAATAAGCTTTGAACAAAACAAAATACCCCTTCCAATTAAACCAAACTTTTATTCTTTACAGCTGGCAATAACAGTGGTTTCATTTTTCTTTTTAATGTTTCAGTTGTTATACAAGACAACTCGAAAGAGGAACATGAAGCAGTTGGACGTTTTCCATTAGTTGGCCCTTGGTGGAAAGTTAATGTTAAAGTTAAAAAAGTGGGGTCAAAGTACTTTGTGCAAGGATATCCATCGTATTTTCTTCGAACTGATATAGAAGAAAACAACCGACAAGTCTTTTCCCTCTTTCTTAAAGAATGCAAAGTTCCTGATTATTTTAGAGAACAGTTTTTCACTTGGCTTCCTCCTGAGTGTGCACTGAGTTTTGGAAATCTTGAAGAAAAACTAAAACAATTTCAATATTCACATCCACCAACAGGGAAGAAACAAGGAGACACCAAGGATTTTGATATCTTACACTATGTTTTGAAATCCGGTAGGTATATCGTGTACCAATTTGTTAGTTTTATAAGCTAATGGTTATATCTCTAAGATGCTTTGTTCAAACTGACATGTCTTCATATGAAGTGTATATTCAAAAGAATTTTGAACGTGCAAAAATTCTTGCACATTTTTAAATTTGAGGGCAGTAGAACGACTGACTGATTGAAGGTGGACATGCAAGGATTTTCCTGAGATCTGTAGGCTTACCGAAGTGGAATTGTCTGTGCTATAGGTGCAAAGACAGTGGTGTAGATTTCATTGATTTATTCAGACTTACTAAAAATGGCTTCAGCACTGCTTAAACATGGTGGTTATGGGTTTTCGGGCAAATATGTATTCAGAAATGGTACAGCTGCTTCTTTGTAGCACAAACAGCTAATTACTCAGCTCAGTCCAGATCAGCTACACGGAACAGCCTAGCTGCCTAGGTGTTTTATAAACCTGCCCATCAGCAGGCTGTATGGCTGGGGATCTCCGTGTGGAAGCACTAGAGCAGAGATGGTTTGGGACTCCTGATCCTGTTGTGTAGCTGGTTTGATGCAAAATCCACTGAAATATGGCAAGTGAAGGCATGTGCTCAGCACTAGCTTTTATTTTGCTCTAATGGTCTGTTTCCATAATGCCACGTTACTGATGCTGGCAGAGGCTGCCCTGGCGTGGTGCTGTACAGAGCCACTTGGGTAACAGCAGTACCACGGGACTCAGTTCTCTGGTTCAGAGGAGGTCTTCTAAATCCAGCAGCAGCTGTGCATAAATCTGTACTGTCAGGTTAGGTCTATCCACCACTATGTGCACATCAGTGAAGTCTTCAGTACTTGGCTTACTGGGCAGTGGCAGGTCAAAAGATGGAGGGGACTGTTTTGGAGGACAGATCGTGCATGATAAAGAGTTCATAAGTCTGCTAGACTTGAGCTGACTTTGCTCCAAATCACATGTGTAAAGAGAAGAAAAAAATCACAGTTCTATAACATCAGGATTTTTGTTTTGTTTTTGTAATGGTAGAGAAGTTCTTAGCACTTCAGAGCTTTTCATGACCATAAGGAGAGAGATTGGATCGTATAGTGGGAGGAACTCTGATCTAGTTCGCTGCATGAATTTTAATTCGATATGTAGATCACTTCTGATTGTCTAATACATTTGTTCTTTTTTGGTGAAGAAGATTACACTTTGCTACAAACTTTTCTCTCTATCATTGAGAAGTAGAAAAAAAATATCCCCCTCCATGCCATGTTGCTATTACTACTATAGTCACTTTTTGATTGTCAATTAAATGTTTTGAACTTGAACAATTTGTTCTTCAAGCAATGAAGATATTTTTACCCAACAACAGTGCGTGTTGATTCTCCTCTTGAAAATTAATCATTTTCTTCAAAGGGGAAGTGTTTCACTTTTGCATTTCTGTAAGTAAGGTAGTTATAACAAAAAATACGTAACCAAGAAAAATTGGTAGTTTAAATTTGGAGTTCTGAAGTTTCCCTGACACTTCTGTAAGAATTGTTTTTTTTTTTTTTTTTTTTTTCCTTTTCTTGCCAAGAGATAAAACATGTAAAAGTCTCTAAAATTTGTTTTTAAAGTGAGGTGTAGAAGAAATTAGTTTCATTATTCCCCTTTTGCAGATCCCCAGACTGGTACCCACAGAGGAAAAGTCATAGCTTAAGTTTGGGATCATTGAGAAAGCCAGGGGGGAGCACTATTTTCCTAAATTCCTGCGCTACTCCAATATTATGTCTGTTTTCTTTTATTTTGGATTTTAATTTTTGTTTTGTATATCTGTATGAAACTTACTTTTAAATAGGAGGGACAGGTGTGGTGAGGTCTGAACTGACTTTCTACAACAGGCTGTTGCATATGCAGTTTAAACTAAATGTGTAGCTTGTATTTTTCATGTGAGTATATTTAATTTCAGTTTATATCTGTTCACATTTTTTTTTTCTAAGGCAGTTCAGGGAAAATAGACTTTAAAAGAATTTGAAGAGGATTACAAAAAGTAAGAAAGTGAAAGAAATCAGAGATGCTTTGGATACAGGGGAGACAGAAGGATAAAAGCCAGAGTCAGTTTAAATTACCTTTACAAATATTTTTGTATATTGCTTAAAACTTTCTTGGTTTATGGTGCATACAGTTGCAGGCAAGGCAGTATTGGTAGCTCTGACTTTTCCGATGATACTGGAGTTCTTGCCAATTCTTCTGCCACGCCATTTTTGCTGTCTTTTGAATATGGTGAGTTGGCAAAGAAGGACTGGAAACGATGATACAGATGGTGAGACAGTACATTGTCAAGATGAGATGCTAACAAAATTGGATGCGATATTAAAGAATGAGCCATGGAAACTTGGATTCAACAGGGTAAGTAATGGTAAGCAGGGTAAAAAGTGTGGTGGTTGTTACATTTGATCTTCATTAGAATACCGTGTTGTTTTGGTTATGTTCAGCTTCTTACCTGGGCATTTGTAGGAGGTAAGCCTAGCTCATTTTAAACTGGATGATTTACTGGGCTCAGTTTTACCATTTTTTTCCTCAGTTGGCCTACAGTTAATTTCTCAAAAGATTTTAAATGTGATCATGTTACAACCTTTTGTTTTGTCTTTTATTTAAAGAATAGAAAATTCCTTAAGGTATATTCCTCAAGTATTTACTTGAGGTATCAGGTCAAATGTAAGAAAGCTAATTAAAAGCTCAGTTCTACTCTCAATTCTACTTTTCAGCTTTATACCAGCAAATGAGATTTTCTGCTCTTAATATATAGAACAGGACCTATGTTTCATAGCAAGGTAGATAAATTATGCTGTAAGAAGTAGTATGAGTCTAGTGTTTTTTAATAATGGGACTTGCAGTTGCTGTTTACCTTCTTTTCCTTTGCTGACACCAGCTACACTTGCTGTGCGACTTTGCTGCTGCACCTCACCTACCCACACGTGTAGCTCAAATGAGAGGTAAAGTTTAATAGTTCGGAAATGTAATTCGTTAATCCCTCAGCTCCAGCCCTCCAGTGCTTTCACTGACAGATGTTTTGACTTGCCTTTAGAGACCTACAATTTCAGAGACTCAGCAATCTGTCCAATCTGTTCCAGTGTGTCACATCCTTTCCTTTAAAAAGCTTTTACTGATGTATTATTTGACTATTCCTTGATGCACGTTAAACTTGTTTCTCTCTCTCTGTATAACAACATCTGCATTCTCACTGCAGTTTTAAGTCTAAATGTTTTTTTTGTTTTTTTTTCTTGACAGTTCATCTTTTTTGTATGTCTCAGTATTTCACTGTTTTTCTCTAGTCTCTGTAAAGGTCATGTGTTTCTTGAAGTATCATGATATTCCAAACTGGATATAATATTCTGGTTAATGTCTTACCTGTGCTATGTTTCTGCAGTTTGCATCTTGAAATCATGCAAATTAGGAGCACATAAGTTCTCTATAGTTTCTGAGTTTTTTGATTTTTAAAGTTTCTCGTTTGCACAGAAAGAGAGGAGTTACCATTCCATCCTTTTTTTTTTTTTTTTTTTTATATTTTGCTCTCATATAGCTCGAAAAACATTATGTACAGTGTGAAAAATACATGTGCTTTTATAGCCATCCACTCTCTGAATTGCAATTTATATTTACTCAAAGGACTGTTATCCAGCAAGAGGGAAAATAAAATATCTGCAATAAATATGTTTGCTTTTATTCTTTTTGGGGAGAAGATTACCTACAGGGAACTGAAACTTTCTTACTGTGAGGCAACATGGGAAGCCTTCCGTCAGTGTGAACGTCTCCTCCGGCAGATTCCTGACTTGCAGAAGAATGCATTAATTCTGTACGATAAACTCAAGAAACGGTGTAGAGAAATGGGACACACATATGAAGATCAAGATGAATTAACTAATTTTGTATCTAAAGATATGTCCATTGAGCATGCTTGGCAATCTCTTGAATTTTTGAAAGACGAGAAGATCGTGATCAGGGAGAAAAAACTCGTGTTTCTGCCTCATCTTTACAAATCTGAAAGAGACATTGCAATGTATATAGGTCGTCTGCTGTCAAACTGCTCGTGGCAACTGAATGTTGACGCGAGAAAGATACTTAACACTTTTGAGACGTCAGGAGAAACGGCAGATGATGAAATGAATGCTGTCTCGGCTCATGAAATGGAACACCTGAAGGAAGATAATCCAGGCAATCACAACTGTGAAAATCCACAGATGGAGTCCACAGCTGGCACCCAAAGTAAGGGAGAGGTAGATATAGATCAGGTGACTGCTATAGAAAAAATTTGTTCTAATCCTGTCACAATCATAAGTGGAAAAGGTGGCTGCGGGAAGAGCACAGTTGTTAGCTGCCTTTTTAGTCACTTAAAGCAGGTAGAAAAAGAAGTGGAAGCTGCTTCTAAGGACTTTGAAGGAGACCTGGACGCATCTGAGGAATGGGGCACCTTTGATCATCACTCGGAGTCAGAGAACACTGGCACAAAGAATTGTTTGAACATACTATTGACCGCACCTACAGGGAGAGCAGCAAGCCTTTTGAGTGAAAAAACCAGGCTTCCTGCATACACTCTGCATCAGGTAAGGATTTTCTTTTTAAAATTTGTGTTATTATTTGTTGTTTTAAAAAAAAACTTGTTACTGAAATTTCCTTACAGCGTTTTTAGTTATTAATGGTAATGCTTTTAATGATTTTCAATTGCTTGTCAGCATTTGAAAATCATCATTCCATTTTGGGGAATCATACATCAGTCATCACAAATACATTATTTGCTCCAACTTTTCTTTTAGAAGATGTTCTACCATGCTATGGCTACCTTTAAAAAGCAGTTCTTCTCAGCTCATTAGTGTCAGAACTTACTTTTAATATATTTTTAATTTATTTTGTTTCATTTCTAGATCATCTATAGTTTTAAATCATGGAGACAGACTGGACAAGAATTCCCGTGGAAGTTTTCTACTGTGACAGTTCTGATTGTGGATGAAGGAAGCTTGGTGTCTGTACATGTTCTCAGTTTAGTTTTAAAACTCTTATATGAGCATGCCGAGCTTGCCAAACTTATTATTTTAGGTAAGTGGGAAGAAATAAATAATTAAGATAATACAACATTGAATAATACACAATATACAGAGTGACTATCACAGCTGCCACTGATCTTGATGGGTCTTTAAATACCCAGAAAGTTACATTGGGTAACTTGTAACAGAAAGCACTTGGGTATTTCTGCTTATGCATAAAGTCAGATCAGGTCGACTGGACTCTTCAACAGTTTTCTATCTCATCTGTCAGGATGAAAGTGTCAGTATCTCTGTTATCTATTTAGTAGTGTTTTGTCAGATTCTCTAAGTATTATGACTTCCACGTGATAGCTTATTATATATATCTTGCAACCGAGAAACTTTTCTCATTTCCTTAAATTTAAAGAAGCTAGTGTCAGTATATGAGTCAGATGTGAGATGACTGGTTCCTTGGGGCTCTTAATGCTAGAATCAACTAGTTTTAATGCAGAAAGGAAAACAAGTGTAAAATGTCAATTTTCTGCTTTCTTAGAAGTTTGGTTTTTGCATGCCATTTATGGCATTCATTTTGAAATGTGTAACTTTCAAAACGTGTTTGGATAAGATATGATCACTGCTGGTATTCATGATGCAGAGTGATTTGTACCTGCTAGTTGGGCATTACTGAGAGAGGAATGTGAAAGATTTAAACTACAGAACAGTCTTACTCCCCAGACAAAGTTTCCTAGATACTTGGAAGTTTCATTTCACATGAAATGTACTGAGGAAGCTTGTGATTCCAAAGTCTCATCCTGTGAGGTACGATGTGGAAGGTTGAGTATTTATTAATTTCAGTGGTTGTTTTTTTTCCAATACATTTTTTTTTTTAAATGTTCTGTTATTGCTCCTCACAAAGCCTACTTTGCATTCTGTTTAGGTGATACTAGACAGCTACCAAGTATAGACCCTGGAAACGTGCTACTTGATATCTTTGAGAGTCTAAAACCAAGAGGCTTTTCTGTGGAACTGCGAACTAATCACCGAGCTGAATCACAACTAATTGTAGACAATGCAACAAGGTAGGATTTCCTTTTGTGTGTAAGGAGCATTCTTGGAGTAGACACGGTGCTTTACCCGCAAAAGCACGTAAAGATTTGAATCTGTGGTACTGCTTCTGTTACATCTTCTTATTCAAAATTAGTAACACTGTTTTCAGTCTGTATGTATCGTATAATATATGAGAAAAAGTTTATGAATGATGAACTTCAGGCTGATGCAATCCTTTAACTGGAAATAATTTTTTTTCCTGTTTTCCCTCCATTGCTCTGGTGAAGAATCTCGCAGCGGAAGTTTCCTGAATTTGATGAGGTGCTGGAAGTTTCTGGTTGGAATAAAGCACTGACAATGCCGAGACCTGAGAAGAAATTCATTTTTATCGCTTTACCTTCTGGTGGGGGTAGTGACAGTAAGTGTGTACACTCAGTTTGTGATCTTGACCTTCCCTTTTGTAAAGCAAAGACTGTCTGGCTGGAATTAACATTTTTGGGAGATTTTAGTCTTTTTCATTTTATTTGAGGTATAGATTTAAATGCTAGATCCATCCTTTGAGATTTGCCTGAGTTAAGTGCACACGGCAAGAGCCACTGGTGCAAAGGATACGCTGTAGAGCTCACCAGTTACATTTTGAAATGGGTGTGATAATGCTTCAACCAGTGCCATCAAATATAATATGTCTATTTATGCTGTGGCTGGAGCTGTCAAACCTTAAAAGATTACACATTTTAGAAGTGAAGCATCTGAGTAAAGACCATCTGTAGGCATGTAATCTCAACTCTAGAATCAAGTTAAGAAATTGGAAGCAAAGGGGACACCACTATTTCATTCAAGGTGTTTTGGGGTCAGGATAATTCATTTTGGTTTTGGACTGTTATTGGATAAGTGGATTGAGGGGTCTCCACTTCGTATGCATCAGTGTAATGTGGAAAAAAATAATAGTGTGGATATTATCAACTCATCTTACTCTAGTAACTTACTCAGCTAACAGAACAGTAAAAAAGGATTTCTTCTGGGAAATTTAAATGTATAGTTCTGTGGTTAAATAATGGTCTATCCATACCTCTCATGCACTGTAAAAAAAAAAAAAACAAACTTATTTTGCATGAAATACAAGCTGTTTATTAGAGAAATAAGCATTTCTCTCCTTCCATATCATACTTGTCTCCCATTTTAACAGTGGGATAGCTGAATGATGCTTTTTGGGTGGTGTGTATAATATATATGTGTGTGTATGTAAATGCGTACATACTTAAAAAGTTGAAATGGCATTGAAGCAGCAAAAGTGATTTCATACTCAATTATGTTTTTCTTTCTTACATTGTTTGTTCTTCAACTTTTTATGCCTTATCTTTTATGTCTTCTAAATCAGATTTGCAAAGTGCCATAAAGGCTTTACTTAAAGAAGGACCTGGGTTGCAGGATGCCAGACAATCACAGTTCATTGCTTTCAGAAGGTAAAAGAGCACGTAGGCAGACATCGAAAAATCTTTGCTAGCAGCCACTATCTAAAAATAGCTGAATATGTTGAGCTGGAGAGACTAGTGAGAATATCATAAAAATTACTAGAGAGAAAAACAGACCAGGTGTCTTCTCCTAAGCCTTCTGGTTGCCCCCAGTCTCTTTGTGGAGAGTTGCTAGATTTTTCTATAAATTTTCTATGTATTTTTCTGTTATTTTGCACCATGCTTTTTGACTCTGTGTTTATGTTCATCTGTACTGTTTATGCTAAGTAAATGAAGGATGGACTGAGTGGTGAGTTTTTGTAGTAAATTCTCCGAGAGCCTGTGCTGTGCTGTTGGCAACAAGGCAGAGCTCTTCAGAAGCAACAGGTGAGGGCTCAACTCCGGGAGGAACCCACAAAACACAGTGTTGCACCTTGACCTGATGAGAGACAGTTGAGATAACATTACGTGGTCTGTACTCACATCTATCCCATCATAGCAGCAGTGAATTTCAGGGCGCACGATGGGAGCATTTAACCTTACCGTTTAGGCATGCTTCTGTGACAGGTGGGCTGTAATCAAATGGCAGAAGATGTGACGAGGGCAGGTCTAGATATGTAATGTGGATATTTGGAAGCACAGTACTGGTCGTTTAAGGAGGGCAGGATGTGTGGCTCTAACAAATTCTCAAGAAAGATTCACTCACATATCAAGCAGTGATTATTTGAACCATCACAGACCATCAGTAATACAGGTGGTTTCACAGAAACACGGAAATGATAACGGACGGGGCTTTGGGCAATCTGGTCTGGTGGAAGGTGTCACTGCCCATAGTGGGGGGGTTGAAACTGGGTGGTCTTTAAGATCCCTTCCAACCCAAACCATTCTGTGAGTCTGTGATTCACATTTTTGTTGTGAATATTGAAATATTCTGAAATCAAGTTTATTTCTGCATTCTGCATTCAGGTACAATACTGTTATTAATGATTTCCATTGAAGATTCCTTGATATTTACAAGTACTTAATCTGCATTTAAAAGTTAAAATTCCGTGTCTGTAAAAAGCAAGTATATAAAATAACCAACTCTTCTGTCTAGTTATAATACATACACAGACAGGTTTTATCCAGGCTTTAGTTTTGTTCTTTGTCTTAAAATTAAGTCCAGCTAATCTAAATATGCATCACAGACATCACTTTCAATCATATTTAGACAAAACTGTTCCTTTACTGCTTTATCTTCAGAACTCTGAATTAATGATTTTTTTCAATCATTGGTGGAAAGTCATCACGGCTAAGATGAACTTTTTTCCATTGCTTTTTAATTATTATGCTAATGTGGCATTGCATGTAATTGTTTTACATTTAGTATTCTTTAAGTACATCATCTGTCTGTTCATGTTTTTTTCTTTTTTTGTGATGTAGGCAAGATTGTGATCTAATAAACGAGCTTTGTTGTCAACACTATTCAAAGCATTTAACCAGGTAAGCTAGTGTTTTGCAATTATTACCCTGAAGAACCTCACTTTGTTTTTGAAAGTGTTATAACCAGAAATACTAAGTGATAGTAAATGCATACGTAGTAAATACATTTCTCACTTTTTTCTTTCTCTGACCTAGAGACCATAAAAGACGACTTTTATTTCAAATTGATGACAAGATTTCCTGCACACGGAATACATATCTCAAGGATCTCTTGCCAGGCCATGGCTTTGGAAAGGAACCTGATCAGAAAGAGGATCATAAATGCAGAAATGGAGAAACCACCCTCAGTTCAGCAACTGCTGAGGATGGCAAACGATTGTGCAATGGAGATATATTTTTCATAACAGATGTAAGTTGTTGCTGAAGGAACTTGCACGGAAAATAGTGGTAACTGATCCAATCCTTTCTGAGTCCTCAAAACAAAGCAATTTTCAAAGTTTAGTCCATAATAGATACCTAGTTGTTCTAAAAACTTATCATGTGAAAGGCTACCCTTTTACAATAAAGAGGCATATTTATAAGAGAGAATTAAAAATAAATCTCTGGGCATTTTTGTAAAATGCGTTTCAGTTGGTCTGGTCTTGTTCAGTGCTGTGACTTTTTTTTGGTCATAAATTCTGTAAATACTCAAATGTATTTTAAATGAAATACACAGTATTTTGGAGGTAGGCACATGGTCTTATGTGAAGAATAAAGCTGATGTTACAGCTTGAGTTCTCCCCCAGTAGAAAACTAAGCTGAAGGAAGCCCACACCAACACACAATCCTATGTTTTTCTGCTCAGCACCTGAGTGAATTGAATTGTTTTGACTCAGCAGAGGATCCAGTGAAAATATCATATTTGTGCCTGGGGACTGTATAGGGTTGGTGGAAGAGAGCAGGCTTATCTTCATTTGTGGCAACAAATTGTTAAATGGGCTCACTGGTAATATTTCATCTTGTCTTAAGGTGATTGAAAATTTCTGGGTATTAAAACTTCCTTTCGTGGATTTTTTTCATACTAAAGAGGAGTCAGGGTAGACCCTGTACAGTGAAAGTATTTTCCTTGAAGATGGTCAGTGAAAGATAGTAAATCTTTTGGGCTTAGTGTGTTCTGAAGCTATTTCACTTGGTTGACACTGCAGCAATCATACCATGGAAAGGTAGCATATAGACACGTGTGGAAGTATAGATACTGATCAAACTGCTGATACAAGCTTACTGCTAAGTAAGTGTTCTTATGCTATTTATTTCTTTAGGATGTAGAAATTAATAAACAGCGCTTATTGACCATCAGCAGCACATACGGCTCCACGTTCACTGTGAAGTACAAGGCTCTGAAGAAGCTCTGCCATATAAAACATGCGTGGGCCAAAACTATTCACACTTTTCAGGTAAAAACTGAAGCGAAACAAAGCTATCGGGTGATAAAGCTTTCTCATGCCTTTATCTCACTAATGCACTGTATTTTCACAAGGAGGTATCAAAGCTCTCTCAAAACTAAAATTCCTTGAATGCAGGACAGAGAATACTGTCAGGAGTGTCCCTGTCTGTCTCCAACTTGTCTGTTGTTGTAAGCTGTCCTTTTCATTTCTTATTTTTTACTACTCGCTGGAGATCTTCATTTTATAAGTTGTTTTTAAATATCTTTCAGGGGTCTGAGGAAAAAACTGTGGTGTATGTGGTTGGCAATCCTGGGCGTCAGCACTGGCAGCACGTGTACACAGCCGTGACCAGAGGGCGCTGCCGTGTCTATGTTATAGCCGAAGAGAGGCACCTCAGGAGAGCCGTCAATAACAAGAGCATTCCCAGAAAAACTCGCTTACAGAGATTTTTGAGAGAGGAAATTGCAGAAATAAGCACATGCCCAGAACAAATCTCCTCTACCCTGACAAAGGATGCTCCCAACCCATCTGAATCTGGCACTGGCCCGGTTAAAGAAGAGTCAGCAGATCTCAGAAAAGAGCAGATGGGTGATTCGCAGCAGAAGATAAGTCCGTATAAAAGACAACGAAATCATGCAGAGAATCCTGGGGATGCTGTGAAAACATCCTCTGTAAGTATCTCCTTACTTTTTAAAGTATTCAAAGTTTAAATATATTAAAATTTTCAAGATGACCAGTAATTTGTGAAGCAGTCAGGTTTGGCAGATATTTTCTCAGAGTAACGTGACCAACAGGGAAAAATTGGTTATAATTTCAGTGGTAGTAAATTTATACATCTTGTTACTAAATGTTACTAATTGTGAACTAGTGGCTAGCTTACACTCTTTATTAGCTTATTCTTTGTGCACAGAAGTCAACTTTTAGGAGCTGATCTGCTGTAACACATTTACATACAATGTCTTCATTGAAGTAGATCTATTTTTATACAGGCAAACATGCTTAACAGATTATTTTTTTCTTACTGTATCTAATATCTGTCACGGGTAAAGAGCTCTTATTTTTTGATGCTGTTACTGTACTTTAGATCTGTTCCAAACTCTGATTAACATTTTGTTTGTTTGTTTTCACAGCAAATAGTACAAGAATCCCCACTTGGTTCTTCCAGACTTCAGAGTCTAAGTTTGCAACATGTAACTCCTAGGAAGCTTTTCAAAAGCTAGCAGACAATTAACTATCCTCTTTACGAATACACCCATTTTGTTCAAGATTTTTTGGCATGGAGAAGCTGGGTATGCAGATGATTTTCAAAAGCTTTCCTGTAATTGTATTTTCTCTAAGAACTGCTTATTTTAAAGTGAGCCTTTTATATATTCAGTGATCTGTTTTTAGTAGATCTGTTTTCCTTGGTGCATTAGTCATCAAAAGCCTTATCAGTCTTTTGTTTTGGTGAAGAAGGAACTTAGAGTTCTTTTAGGATCCAGAAGTATCCTTGAATAATACATGGGCATTTCGTAGTTTGAACACTGTAGCCATACCAAGTTTTATCTATTTCCTCATGCTGCAGCATCGATTAGAATCTATTATTGATGTGCCAAAGTTGCACTTCAGTCTTCAGTCAAAAAAATAGTTTAGAGAAATCTAAACTACCCTGTTTGTAATGTGGCAGAATTATGGGCATGAAGCTTTGACGGATTATGGATTTTAATCTTGTTATAACAAGAAACAAAAGCTGCAATCATTGCCACAGAATTTTTTTCCCACTTTGCACTTGTGAGTGATGTAAAACTTGCCATCGTTGCTCTACCCTATAAAGCTGTATGCTGCTAATGATCTTGGGAACAAAAGCAACATTCCAAGTTAGGGTTCAAATATCATGCTGCTTTTTTACACGTGTTTGTGTACTGCATGATTTGATACATTGCACTGTATGAGGTTAAATAAAATGAATGTTTACACAAGCTTCAGAGGAATTAAATTTGAAGAGATCTTGCGTACTTCTAACAAACTTTTTTTTTTTACTCATACAGCAGGAAAAAGTGTACCATGAACATAATCATGGTATTTTTTTTTTTACTTAAACTGCTACTCTACATGTAAAATAGAAAAATGCTACCTCGTTTCTACTGTCTTTAAATCACTGTTTATTTCAATTTATACATTTTTTCCATACAAATATTTGCAACAGTTTGAATTTCAAAAAAACATACATAGACGATAAATATCATGCTATTAAAGTATTAAATTTGTACAAAAATACTTTACAGTTTAATACTTATTTGTTACAAATAAAAATACATATTTAAGTGACTCATGGACTTTTTTCTTTTTTTTTACATGATTCAGCATTGAATGTTACTCTGACCTTTTCTGGCAGTGCTGAAATATAAATCAGACATACTTGTGTGTGCAGGGTGAGCTTGTTTATGTATTGGAAACAGCAATAGGGAATACAGTTAAACAGTTTAAATTGACCAGAAACAACTCTGTTAGGTGATTGCTTAGATGTGGAGACTCTACAAATGTACAAATCCAGTATCTTTATATTCACCAAGAACAGTAATTACCAATAACAACTCGAATACTGGAATAAACCAAAGCAGCTGCTGGTGAGCATATAAAGCAACTGGCAGTATTTTATTGCTTGGGGGGAGAGGGGAGCCAGGAGAATTTGTGAAGTTTGTAAAATGTATTTACAATTTTAAATTCTAAAAACGTGTTGTAGGGGGTAAGTTTATCATAAAGAAGGCTGAAAACAAAGTATATTAAATAGGACATTAGTCCCCTCAAGAAATTGTTTGACTTAAAAAGCTCGTGTACGACAGTAGAAGTTTACAGGGCTATGGATCATTAAGGAGCTTTTGTATCAATCTTCCACTGCTATAGTTAAAAAAAAAATCCATTTTATTTTAAAACCTTTCTAGTTTGTCTAAACTCTTTTCAATTTTACTCATCAGTAATCCTCCTTCAGAGGTTTTCAATCTCACTAAAAAAAGTCTCTGCTTAAAAAGCCTTACATGTTGCAAGACCTATCATTAATTATTTCATTGCATAGGGAATAACATATGAGCTACTAAAATTTACCACAGTTGTTGGGGAGTAATGTTCACCACATGCTGCAGCTTCCTAAAAACACTTTGTTAAAATATCTAAACCGTGCTTTGTCTGAAGAGTATACCATTCTTGCCAGCAGAATCAAGGTCCCCATAATTACAGAGCTAGACAGTTAACAAGAAAGCGTGGTGCCAGCACACCATTCTTCCTCGGCCATCAGACAATGACTTGCTGCTAAAATGTTTTTAAAAATCAACCAGGACACCACTGTTAGGAGAAGTTAACTCCATGCTTTTTCCCTCAAACAGCAGCTGATGATGAAGGGAAAGGTACATCTAAATCATGTTTAAACATCTCCCCACTTTTTTGTTCGGGGAAAAATGCCCTTAGGTACTGTTGCTAATGGCAGATTGTTTAGAAATGGAGTGATTTAACAAAGAGTTAAACTTTTTAAAACGTGACCATGAATTAATATAAGCCTTGAGACAGACAGACTGACCTCCTGTGCTTTTTAGTGCTATAATGTGTCTGAGCCTTATCTTCAGAAAAATCTTAAAGGGATTTAGCACCATAATTGTCTTTTATTACCAAATGTCCCACTCAAATTATTTTCTGCTATAATGTATTTGTAGGGTCCCGTGCCTCTGTGTTAACATTAGCATGTCCAGTCTGTTGGAGGAAGGCATTGTTCTGCTCACTCCACTCCCCGCCTGCTGAAGGCTGTTGGTCTGCACTTCCTTTCTGAGAGGCCAGTGGGTTTCTGCTAATAACCAGTTCCAGCTTATTGCCAGATTCTGCGATGAGGGGCACAACCAGACAGCAGTCAAAGTCCCTGGTGCGAACGTGGTTTACCTGAACGATTAGAAGATTGATTCTCATTATTACTTTAAGACAAAGAAATACGATCGCAAGACAGATTCATCCTTGAGACCATGAAAGCTGACTTAAATCTTGCAGCTAGAGAACAGCCCGATAAAAGACCATTTAACTGTGGTATCTGTCTGATCTGAAGACATCAATGAAGTTTTTTACTTCCTGTTTAATGGAATGTGGCTAAAATGGCCTTACTGGCCTCAGTGATAGTGGTTGTCAGTAGTCACAATGCCTGTTCCGTATACATGTATGATACTTAACAGCACATCATTTTTCTCACTTTCACAGTAGTCATCAATTTAAATGCCATGGCCCACATCTAAAGCTTCTGTTTATGTTTTCTCTGGTATTTATTAATACACAAACATTCCATTGGCCTAGTTGACAATAAATAAATAAGTTTTTCTCTCACAAGCCAACTTGGCACTGCACTATGCGTGGCGCTCCGTGTTATGCTATTACAACTATGGCGATCAGCAGCTTGGATTAAGCACAGAAACAATTTTCAAGTCTGTATCAAGAACAGGAAAAATTACAAATCCATCTGGAAATGCCTTGGGAAATTCTAACTTTCCAGTAAGCATTTTTATGTCTCCTTTGAAGTTCTGAAATAAATAATTTGTTTCTATAAATGTGACATAATAGAGAAAAATCTACTCTTACTTCTACTGCATAAAAGCCCAAATCACCATGAGGTGCTGCTGCCTTATCTAGGCTCTAAGTGATTTATACAGCCTGTGGCACAAAGCAATTAGGATAATTTTTTTCCTACTTCCCATTTCCCCCACATCCTTTCTCAGCAGAAATAAAAAATAGCAATACTGCTCCTCATTGAAAATATAATAAGCAACACAGATAATAAGGTTGCTCCAAATGAGTGCTGACACAACTTTATACAGTTTTCTGCACGCACATCTGAGTACCCAGATCATACCCAGACACCATGCAGTATGGTTACAAATCCTTTTACAAAAATGCTGCTGTACATCATGGCCATTCATGCCAAACCCGTGTGGTGCCAGAAACATTACCTGCAGCAGCCTGTCGTATGGCTTCAAACCACCCAGATCGCCAGGGCCCGCTGGTCGAATGTTTTTAACGTACACTCCTTTTTCCAACAAGCCATCTGAGACACTAAACCCAAAGTCTTCTCCATCACTGTCCTTGTACAAAGTTACCTGCAGAGGTAATGTGATGTGATGATAAGGTAGGAAAAAAAAGCGTGTCCACATTTCTACAAGCACTTGGCAGGTCTCCTTCCTAGGCTTAGTTCATGTTCGAGGGACCACTTACCTACTACATGGTACTTCTAGTATCATATGGGCGATGACCCCATTTTTACGTGATATTAAGGATCTCAGAAGCTTCCTTATCCTTCAGTAATAAGCAGTGCTCTTCACTTCTACTTGACAGCTGGAAACGTGTTTTCTATGCCATGTTTTGTGGCATGATTTTTTCTTCTGAATCTTACTCTTTTGCTGTCCTGTTCTCTAGTCACCAGGATACCCGAGTACAATGCATTAGCTTGGTCAGCCAATTAGGTTTTGTGTCTCTTAAGTAAATCAGTAAATTCTTTTAATTGTAGGCTTTGGGGTTTAACAACACGTATTGCAATTCACTCATTCCATTTTTGACTCTGAGAGCATAATTAGTTGCCCCAAATGTCTGAATCTAGTCTAAAACAGGCTGTAAAAATCAGCTGAGCTTACTTTAAGCTACAGGTTCCACCCCCTCCTTCCCAAATGATGAGGCTTTGTGTGGCATGGGTAAGAAATTAACTGAAAGCTATCCATATAATCTCTCCACAGGGAACAGATCATTTAATTGCAGCCAACAGTCTCAATTCAATCTCAGGAGTGTGAGTGCTGCTAACAAGACTTGGCATTTGGGGATTTCGATGGTGAAGGCTGATGTGCGGTAATAAAGACCTGGCCTAAACCAAACCATGACCTGCATCATGGCTTCGGGAGCTGCCACAGGGCACAAATAGCACTGGCACCTTGATCCCCAGCCAGCCTGCTTTGTTTCGGCCAGGCGATGGCCAGCCCTGCAAGGCCCAGTCTCAGCAGTGCTCAGTATAAGAGTTACAATGCAGACTTTTAAGAAAGCACAAACACGGCTCCTACAGAAGGACCCACAGGAGGGGAATTCTGCACAAAACCAATTGTGTTAGTGCAGGTGTGTTAGTTACAGAGGTGAGAGACGGCCATTCAACAGTAGGACATAGAAGTTAAAGCTGTTAGGAGGTTTCCAAGCATTCAGAGAATTAATGCTTTGCAGGCAGTTCTGTTATTTTAGTTTTTTGATCGAACGGAATTCAGAAACTTCTTTGTAAGTATACTTAGTTTTTTATTCCTTTAGGGGTGTTTTTTTTTCTTGCTTCTCTCTCACATGAGGAGCGCAGACCAGCTGCTGTAGCGACAGCACCATTTTGTCTGTACAAGTGGATGGAGCATCGCCGGGCTGCTGTGAAAACATCTCTGCCTCATGCTGCAGTAAGCACAAATATCCACACACAGTATTCACCCTGACTTTCACACCTGTTCTTCCTCTTCCCTCGCTTTCCTCCCTTCGTACAGTACAGTGAAGTAGAAAGCCATGCCTAAAGTCCTGTTAATTAAGCTGGAGGCCTTCTGTTTTCCAGTGACGGGTTCTCTGTTTCAGGCTGTGACCTGCCATTTCAAACCTCCCAGTGACCGCTGAGCTTAAGCTGTCTTTGCTCCCATTTTCCCCTGACCTAACTTGTCAGTGAAGCTTTCATTATCCATCTCAGCGTGCATTTTAAGAGTCAAAGGGCATTTCACCTACCGACAAATCCATCTGCAAATTCAATATATTTCATCTGAGAAGGATTTTAATTTGTATCGACAGCTGGTGTCAGCAGGACTCTGGGAAACCTCTAACAATTTGTTATCCACAGAGGCATTTGTTTGTGATACCACAGCCCGTCTAACATGGTTTGGGCTGAAGTATGTTTGAAGCTGCTGTGGATGTGCCACGGGATGAACAGTATCACAAGACTAAAAACAATTGCTCCCCCACTCCCCCCTCCAGAAAACAAAAAATAAAGAAGGAGGGAGATTTATTTTGTTAATTGACAGATTTGTGTGCTTTTCCTGGCATGAGGTAAAAATAATTAGCACTGTACCAAGACAGAAATCCTCTTATAAATAACTTAATTTCCACGCTGTCATGAAGGGTAGGAATGCTTCCTGTTAACTGCTTTGTAAAGAAGCCTTGAAAACTAAACATAAAACCAGGATACAAGGCCTAAGAGGAGACAAGACTTAAAATACCGCGTTCTTCTGGCACAAATGGCACCATTTTTTAAAAAGAACTTCCCACTCGTTCCTTTTCTCATTCCTCTTCCTTCAGGCCCTGGAGTTAAGTGGAGGTGGATCCAACCTCAGAGGAAGCACTAAAGCATACGAAACAGGGCTCTCTGAAGTCATTTAGGCTCTACTCTTGCTGTAAGGCAGGATCAACTGCATCTAACCCATTTCTGAAAGACATTTATCTGTCCTGCTTCTTAAAATCTCCACTGATGGAAACCCCACAGTCTATTAAAGTAATCCCTTCCAGTGCTTCAGCTATTTTCCCTCTGTCTAAACTAAATCACCCTTGCTGAGACTTAAGCCTGCTGCTAGCCACAAAGAACGAGGAAATCACTTTATTCTCTCCTCTGCAGTTATGTGAAACAAGGAGTGTTTTTCTCTGGGCTCTGCTTGGTAGGACAACATCCCTCTTTATCTTTCAGACCCCAAACTGGGCACTCTGTTACAGTCAAGACCTTGCCAAAGCCACGACAGAGCGGACAACAATTCTGCAGGCACTACAGGCGGTGGTCCTAGTTAAATGCTCTAGGACAGTGTTGCCTTTTTTCCTACTCTTCGTATGTGGTCTAACAGCAAACAAAATATGCACAAGTTCTGCTCTGCAGGTCTACAGAAGTGCCATTCCACATTAGCATTAGGGCTACTTCTTTTTACGGCAGCATATATTTCTAAAAGAGAATCTCAGAGAAAAAAAACACTGCTACCTGAAAAACTCTGATTTTTATTTAATAATGAATATGGGCAAAGCCTTAACCACACAGCTTTCTCATCTTCATTTGCCACTAATGCAGCTGATCTGGAGGGTATAAGGTTGTAGGCAATTCATGCAACACCTAGATCTTCCTATGTATTATATGCCCTTTGATCAAAACTGTTTGGAAGTTTTGACCTCAATAGCAAAATCTCAATTGTAGATGATTTGTTAGACTTTTAAATTTGCATTAGGAGCCTAAGGGGAAAGGAAAGCTGAAATGGAAATTTAATTCATATTTCATAAGCAATTAAATAGTTACAAATTTTAAGCAGAGGCTTACAGGTTTTGAGCTAGTTTCTGTGCCTCTCCTCCCTCTCAATTCTAGAGGAAAAATGTTTAATTTAAATTTATATGTCTTGCATAGATTAGATATTGAGAAATTTTAACCAATGGTAATGTTAGGTTAATGCCTACTTGCAGCAATAATATTGAAAAATTATCTTATGTCTTGAGCATATTTTTGCTCTCAGAGGAATGCTTGGTCTCTGCAACTTTTAAAAATGGTCTGTTACGATTTTAAGAAAAACATTAATCTATATGCTTACCTAAGTAGATAAAATCAAATAAAGGCATTAACTCAATTTGGGTAGCGATATGGTGTTCAGCTAAATTAAATGCTGCTGATTAAACCATCTAGGATAAATGTTTTAAGAGATCTGTACGACACGTCTCAATCCTAGCTTCCTCAGGACAAAAGTAGTTAAAATAATTGTTTGATGAATACAATGCAGTGAAGTTAAGGAATAGCGGTGATGAATTCAGGTTAACTTGCTGCAAGGTTTGCAGCATTAAGTAAAATAATTCTCAGGGCTGTTACCCTTCTGACAAGTACGCATCTGAGAAGGACAAGCTGGTAACATAACTTACTCATCTGTGTTTATAGCCTGAGGAGTTTTATCCAGTCTTACTCTCGCTTACCATATACATCTAGACCAGCAATTTATGCATTTCGGTTTTTATGCGTGGCTTTTCCTTCAATGAAATATTGCTACAATGAGAGCTACAATGAAATATTGTAGCTCTCTCCCAATCAGGTTATGAAAGACAGTGGAACATCTTCCTTGGTTGGCCCATCCCACTGTAATCAAACTAAGGTATGAATTCTGATCTGTAGGGCACGTAGGTCCTGACTCAACACATGAGCAAAATCATTGCACTGAGGTAGTAAATAAGCACCTGCACTGTCCTGCTGAAGGCACTACGAAAACTCAGCAGTGTACAGTTGTGGACATGCTTGAATTTCTCACTGAAGTAAGTCTTAGGCAAGCTCTATCTGAGTTTGTATTTCAAGGACTGCTTATACCATCACAGTTTTCCAAAGCAGTCGTTAGTTCATTTGTTGCCCTGTCAGTGGCCCAAATGTTTGAGACATTTGCCTGCAAGAGGGCAGAGCACATTAGCCAGCAAAACTTGTTACAAAAAATACTTAAAATGAGGAATTTCTCTGACATTGAATTCCCAGTCATTCTGGAGGCACTGCAGCTGTTTTGGGAAACTGACTGGACAAACTTTCCTTAGGAAATAGAAACTGAACAGGTTATTCATGTTAAACTAGAGGTCTATGTCAAAAATTAAGGAGGGAAGAGAAAGTAAAAGGCACATTGCTACACAAGAACCAGTAAGAAAACTAACCAGTAAGAACTTACTAAGATAAGCATAAATACAAAACCAGCCCATGATGCCTGGGTTAACCTGCCTGTATCATCATAGGGGTATAAACATACTTTAGTGAACTGGCCCATAAGATCCAGTCACAGGTTTCTATTTTTCTTAATTGACTGGATTAATGATTGGAAACTATAGTGCAGGTTTGACTTTTAGAAAGGAAATGACTTCATGACAGAACAAACAGTGTAAGCAAACTCAACATCACTTCAGCAGACCATGGGAAAGCAGGTACATTGTCTCATCAAAACACAAAAAATATTCGAATGGAAGATCACAGCAATCTTTACAACAACAAAAAAAAAGTAAAAAAAAATCTCTAGCACAAGGTATTTTTTACTGACCAATACTTAAGAGCTCCCAGCTCTAATACAGCGCTAAATCATTAGTAGTGATCTGACTTCCTCTCCAGCAAAAGATTTGTTTCATCAATCATGAAAGGCTGGTTTTATAATCCAAAGAAGTATCTTTGCCGAATGTGAGTGCACCATTTAATGCCTGCTGGTGTAGTTTCATCTTCTATCTCACATTTACTTTCCACTCCAGAAAGCTGAGCACAGCAACCAACCCCATTAATCACTTCATATCAAGCTGGAAATACAAATAGCTTAAAACTATCACAACACACCCTATTGACTACTTACATCGACACTTTATTCATTGTCCAAATGCAAGATCCACTCTCCAATACCTTCTATAAACATTCGTTTAGCACATACTCACTGAGACACTACCTTACTAAGCTAAAGTGAATGAACTGTGAACTAAACTCAGAGAGTGGTGGATGCCCCATCCCTGGAGGTGCTCAAGGCCAGGCTGGATGGGGCTTTGGGCAACCTGGGCTGGTGGGAGGTGTCCCTGCCCCTGGCAGGGGGTTGGAGCTGGGTGGGCTTTAAGGCCCCTTCCAACCCAAGCCATTCCATGGTTCTATGAAATCTGCAGTGACTGAAAAGCAAACCAACCCTCTTGAGAGTGATGTCACGTAACCTCCTTTAAAAGAAATTTCTCCATGCTTCTGTCTCCTCTCTGGGAGAAACTCAGACCTTCAAGAGGAAGACGGTGCAGGAGATGGGATGCTCATTCCCATCAAGGAGAAGAGCATTGTAACATTCCCCACAGTTTTGGGATCTGGTTGCTGTTATGGCATTACTGGGCTTGAGATTTCAACCAGCATGGCATTTACTGTGCATATTTAAAGATAATTTATCCATTACTTCCTTGGGGTGTAGAGCCACCTGATTAACACCGTGTGATTTCAACAGTCTTGACCAGTGAAAGGTTGCATAGGCTGAAATTTTAAAATCCTTTTTATAGCAAAGGAATTATAAAGAGATGTGAAACAATAGCTAATTTGAAATACATTCTATATTGTATACATTGAGTATCATGTACTTGATTCAAAATGAGTGTTAATTTGAAGAAGGACCAATGGGAGCCCCAAACCCCCCTGAGTAATTTTCTAAAGAAACGTATTTTCTAGAGATTAAACTTTGTTTTTTCTTTTTAATGAACTCATTTTGCAGAGATGAGTTATTGGTATTGTCAATTCAAATTACCAGTGGATCCTCCTTGCAAAAGAGCAGTCCCTTTTGAGGATTTGTTGTAAAAGTAAATAGTAGACAAGGATGCATCTTATTTGTTTGTTTTCCCCATAAGGATATATCATTAATGTTTTTGTACGAACTAATATGCATGGCCCCAGAATTACATCTGTGGAGCCATTATAAAAAGTGCTTACTGTATTGCCATACATAATTAGATTCCCTATGCTGAATATATTATTTCGAAACTGTCAGAAGAAAAATTACAGACCTTGTGTAACTCCACAGGAGTTGGTGACATGATTTCTTTCATTTCTTGCTTAAATTTTCTCATAACCATGGACTTTCTCCCCACATCTGATGGCAATGTGTTGCTACGAGTAGTTTGACTGTAATGTGGCCTTACAGTGCTTCTTTCCTGGAAGCTGGCTTGTCTTCCCAGCTGGCTACGAGGTTGTGGGTTTTCATGATTCAAACTCATTGTACTTCCTGACATAATTGTGGCCTAGAGCATTAATGAACAGGTTAATTTTTAACACAGAATGTGGGTTAAGTAAGCGGTTAATTCATAGCAGTAAGAAAAATTTCTCTATTTTTTGTTAAAACACAATCACTCAGGGCACAGCAAAAGGCAAGAAGACAGATGTTCAATCTGCTTGCAAGTCACTATAAAATACAGAACCACAACAAAACACAACAACAGTAACAAAACCCTACAGGCAAAAGTTTTCAGATGGCATTTCCAACTAAAATACTGAGCACTGGAATGGCTATGCTGCTAAGCTAGTGTCCTGGCAGGCAGGACTGAAGAGTGCATAGTATAACTGTTTACTTTAAAACACTTGACATGTAAATAAAATGACACGTAAGTTGTGGCGTAATTACATTTGTTGGAATTAGATCTATAGGAGGATGTTTACAAGACAAGGTGGAAAAAAAAAAGTCAGAAGAATGTGAAGGCAGCACTACACTCAGCACTGGCAGGGACAGTGCCTGAATGGGGGAAACTGAACACAGGTAAGCTCCCTGCTCAGAAAGACCTTTTGCATAATGTGCATTATGCAAAAATGCACATTGCAAGAGTAACTACCTCAGCTAGCACTATTACCTCAGAGATACAACCCCCTGTCTCAGTAAAAGCTATCCTTTTATGTTACATGAAAGAAGATGCAGAGCGTGAAATCTTGAATGAAGACAACAGGAGTCATCTCATCCACTGGGTGGAACGGACTGATAGGAAAAGTACTCGTGCACAGCAAGGAGGCTCCTCTGTTGTGAAAGAATTTCTGCTCCAGGGAACAGGAGGTGGAGGTGCTTTGGCACTGCCACCACACAGCGGTGCAGCCTGCTGCTGCTGACAGCATGGGGTTCACTGAATTTCCTGTTTGTTCTCCCTGGCACTGATGGACAAGTGAAATGGGAAATTAAACGGCCATAAGCTGAACTCTGACTGGGACAGGATGCAGGCAGCCTGCTTGAAAATGAGAAGTGAAAATGAAGTGGGGAAAAATAGGGGAAAAACAGGCAAAGAAATGTTTGCTTCTGACTCTGGTGACCACGTCTGTCACCCGTCTTTCTCCCAGCTCCAGCACTACTTTCACTACAAGGTAATCTATTGTAGCTTTAATAGTCTCTCCTGTGCTCTGAAATGACAGATATTACACCCTGATGGAGCAAAAGCAGCTGGAGGACTTGGCAAACAACAGTTTTCTTTGCTCTTTGGCTGAAGACCTTGAAATGAAAAATGAGAAGGAGTCCTTGACTACGCGATGGTACTTCATAAAACAGAGGCATCGCCATTCTCAGCATCCTGTCACACTGAATTGGTCTCGCTTTCTTTTCAGATCTGTGGGTTGTGCAAGAAGATGATGCTCTAAATGATACAGCACCTGCAGTTCTGAATTTCACTTTTGTAAAAGGCTGAGGAAGACTCAGCCTCTTGAAGTAACTGAATTCTGGTCATCCTGAATGATCCATTTCCACTTCTGAATTACCTACTTCCATATCCTTTTATTGTGCTCTGAATATTGAAAACTGCATGAGAAGCCCGTGGTACCAAACCATATCTAACTACGGAATTAAACCCATATAACATTTTCTCCTGCTTTTCTCTGGTTTGCAATAACAAATACATGAGAATCACATTTTGCTACCCACACATGCAATACAGAAGCCATAAATCTGAAGGAAATAAATTAATCTGAACTGAAAGACTTTCACCCAGTTATGCCATTCACATTCCTCCTGGCTGCTACAGGACTTCATGTAACATAAAAATGAAAATGAGATTCTGCCAGTTTCGCAGCTCCAGGAATTTAAAAGAACATAAAAGAAAATATTTTAGGACCTTTCATCCCACAGCTTTAAGTGGCAGTATAATCTTAATTGTTCCGATAAGAGAACTTAGAGAAAAGGTGATTACAAAAATAAAGACTTAAACTTACTCTGCCTCTTCCCCAACCCCACTCCACATACAATCTAACATGAAGCACGGTTAGATTTGCAATAAATTTCAGGGTGAAATTTGTTGCATCACGAAGAATTTACTGTATAACAAACACTTCTCACATTAGCAGGATTTTTTTTTTTCAGCGTGGTAAGATTATAGCCAAAATTTCGAGAAGACGATTTTCTTTTATGTTCATCTTAATCAAATTAAGTTTCAGTTTAAAAGACAACCTAAAACATGCTCAGAAAAGCTGCGTAAAGCGGCCATCAGAGAAGGGGATGCATTGCTGCAGGAAAGATGTGCCCACTTAGGAAGTTCTGCGCCATTTGCTGCCTGTGCAGACAGCCCCAGTGGTACGCACAGCAGAAGCTACAAGTCAAAAGCTCTGGGGTGAACATGTTTTATAGAATTTCAGTTGCATTGTACAAAAGAAAAATAGCTCTGGTTAGGGGCGGGGGAGGCAGCTGCACAAGCAAAAAATATAAACGTAAAGGGTAGGTACCAAGAGAGTCATGTTTCTCAAAGACAGACGCCTGTCAGCCTTGTCCTGTGGAGAGGGGTTAAAGCTTTTAAATGAATTGGTGTGATTAGTGCAAATTAAAAGAAAAAAAGGAGAAAATAAAATGAATGTAAACCAAACCAAAACCATTATATTTCTCTATAATCGGAAAGAAAGGTTAAGATTGTTCTACCTCTAGTTCCCTCAGAATTCCTGACTGGCCACAGGTCTCTAAATCCTCCAGAGCCTGAGACCAGAAGTTTTCCTCCTGGTCAGCCTCGGTGTTATCATGGGTACCTGCGAAGCTAGATTTACAATGAGAGGTTAAAAAAGGTGTTTTATTTTTATTTTTTTCCTCTTGAAAATATATTTTACACATGTGCCTTGCCACAGATTGCAACTTGAATGACAGAAGGTTACGGTAGGTAGGCAGGAGAGTGGGGAGGTCGCTGGACATGCAGAGCCTGGACACAAGTCTTCTCACAGCCTGGCAGTCGCTTTCAACCTCACAGACTTCTCTCAGGGAACATGAAAAGAGTCCCAGTTTGGCAAACAGCATCTTGCAAAAGATGGGTGGTGGTGTTTTCAACTGATTCAGTCTAAGCAGCATTTATTATTATCACTTTACCCCACCTGACTGCCACAACAGAAACTGCTCCAGTCATTTTACGTACCAACTGATGTGACAGGCACAGGGGGATGAGGGATGGAAAGAACAAAAATTTGCCCTTTTGGTGGCAGCAAGCTGTTACTTTGGAGCAGCTGCCCATGGACTGCAGCTAGCGAAGCTTAACATAAACAGAGCAAACATTGTCATGGAAGCATCCGAGGCCTTGCTTGACAAACTGTGTATTACTGAGAACAGCACGAATACAGCACTGTTAACATAATAGCTTTTAAATAGAGGAATTGCCCAGCACAACCAACAACAGCTTGAACACTTCCCACATGATACTCTGCCTCAGAGATGCTTTCTTACAGCTACGATCAGTCAGGCAGGCAATGGCCAGCCGTCTGGATCTCTTATTGCAATGATTTTCCAGCTAGCATCAGTGTCTCTGCTGAGATACTGCAATAGAGACAGAAATGGTGAGAATACCTACTCAGAGCACAGATGCAATTCCTCCCGGGCAAGATAAGAAAATATTTAAAACATGGTTTTGGAAAGATCTTTAACTTCTGAAATTAGCTCTTTCAATCAACCTAAGTAGTTTTTTTTAACTGCTAACATCGAACATCGACAAATTAATTCAATCCAATACCTTCTTTATATTGGATACTAATACTGTAATATAGAATGGAGCTTGAGTTAATGAACAGGATTGTATGCCTGTGACGGCAAAGGCTGGGCTTTCTAGAACAGGATCTCCATTCCTTCTGACTCCAGTGAAACCTGAAATGATGATGCCTGTAAGTCTGGACCTCCTTTTGGCTGGAACAGTTCCTCTTTTGGGTCCCCTCACCTCCTCTTTTGATTTTTCCCTGAGTCTTGTCTCTTGTGTGAAATGCTCAACTTTTTCATCTCCATTATAGCCACATTAATAAACTGATTTGTAGCTGAGCTGCTGCATCAAAAAAAAAAAAAAAGATTCCAAATCATTTCTCATCTAATTTGTTTTCCCTGAAACAAAACCCGAGAGATTGATTTTATGTCATGTGAAATATTGTTTGAGCTGTAACAAATATATTTGGTTCTCAAATGGATGCTCATTCAAAGAGCCATCAGGAATTTAGATACACAAAAATGCTGAAGGAGAGGTAGCGGGACAGATATGAAACCACAGGTGCCTGTGATTTGGTTCTTATTGACGTGCAAGAGACCGAGTGTTCCCCTGCCACTCCCCACTTTTTTTTTTTCCTCCATCAGGAGGTGATAGAGTATTCTAGGATCTGGCACACTCACTCCTGTAGTTAATGTTTTAAAATGCAAAACATTTTCCCTGGAGCAGGAACTGTAACTGACTTGTCCTACCTGTCAGTGGTAGGTAGAAACAAGGCTACAGAGCAGTTTCTGCTCCGGTTTCACTCACTTGCCAACTGAATTGTCATTGTCACTCAGTGGCATGTTAGTGATGTGCCTTCTGCTTTTACCCATTTTTTCTCCTTTTTCTCCTTTTAACTGTTTTTACTTTCTTCCCTCTCTCCCTTCCCTCTGCCCCAGCCCAGTTGGATCTCATTCCTGTGCACTCTTTGTTTTCCTACCTGGGAGTATTCCACTCTTCCAGCTGTCCCCCACCTTTCCTTTGCCCACCAGAGGCACCTTTCCACAGCTTGCCCTCTTTCTTCACGCTCCTGATGCTCTCTCCCCCTGACCTTTCTACAGAAGTTTGCTTTAAATGGTTTTCTTGATTGTCTCCCAACGTCTCAGTCTCTTTCTGTTGCCACATATTCTTGGAAGCTGTGCTACACAAAATAAAGGTAAGAAAAAATTACTTTTTAGTGTTAGAGAACAAGACAGAATGCTTAGCTAGGGGCAGAGAAGAGGTGTTTTTCTGGAGACCCCTCTAACAGGCAGGCAAAACAGATTCCCAAATTCTCCACTACTTGGTATAGGAGCACCATCAATTGCTGTGGATAAAACTACTGCTCTCAGATTAAAGACAGTAACTTGTTAAGAATGGGAAGTATGAAGAAAACGACATTCACTTCCTTTATTAAATGTTGTCCACTAACTTCTGATATGCTTCTGGCCAGTAGTGACCAAAGGAGCTGGGTAAAGGGTGAGTAGGGTGAGTATTTACACTTGCCCAGATCTCAGCTATCATCTTGACAGACTTGTCTCCAGACAAAATGCCACTGGGCAATCTGCTCTATCAGAGGATTTAGCATTCAGCTCCTGAAAAGCTGCATTGCCATCTAAGTCCTGCCCTGGATCACAAATATAAAGGACCCTTATCCAGTAGGGTTATATAAGAACGGTTTTCTGTAGTACTAAGCTTGAATTTGTCACAGACTGAGACTTCAGGCTCATCATGTTGCTATGACAAGAAACTGTATTTCTAACTAAAGATGTGCATGTGTGCAAGTCTTGACAACAGGTATAAAGAGCACTGAAATCTTTCTGTGCTGTCTGTCTGCCTTTGTCTGAGGAAGCACTTATTGGGCAGGAATCATCACCCAGGTCTCTGTAGTGGTTCCACTGCTGGATCATCGTTAGAACAGAGAATAAGAGATTCCTTTTTTTTTTTTTTTTTTTTTTGCATCTTTTGCTGCCTGAGCAATATCAACCAAGTCTTTTTCCCTCAGAAAATTCTTCTGCCTGCAGAGGAATTCGCTGAAGAGGGGATTTACTTCTCAGAAGAGGAACGCAAGGCAGAAAATATGCATGCCCATGCACAGCTTTGGACAAGATATTTCTACTACGGTCACTTTGTTCTCCCACTGAACCACTGCAGAGCTCTAAAGTGTTTCTGGAAGAAGGCTGTAATACCTGCTTCTTTGCCAAAATCAAAATGAAGAATTTTCATGGAAGACAAGATTAACATGCTGGTTGTCTTTGTCCACTTCCTCTTATAGGGTTATTTTTGTGAAGTGGAAAACAGAGCAAGTAACTTTTGAAGCTTACCCAAGGGAATGCCCTACTTTACTTTTTTATTTTTTAAGTAACTCATAATAAATATATGCCTTGGTTTTAGCATCATAATCTTTGTCAAACGTCATTCATCTATTCTGATAAGTTTCATAAAGTATAAATACCATATCTTATATTTAAAGGAAGGGCTGCAACAGCTGAGTTAGAAAAACATCATTTCATTCTAGACAACGTGTCCCTTTTTGAGGCACTGCTACAGCTGCCAATAACAAAACAGAAACTTGTACAAGAACTTACCTGCTTGCTGTAGGTCGGTCCCATTCCTCATCACTCAGTACTGGGTCATGGAATGGGTGGTTTCGTGGTCTGCTTGGTGGGGACAAGCTGCCCCTCTGTTTAGGACTCCTCCATTCATAGGCATTGAAGTTGTATCCTGAAGCCTGATAGCTGGGTCCTAAAAAGGAGAATTATATACTTACGCTACTGTATATGTTTTAATGACAAAAAAGTACATCTTTGAAGCTAGGTTTTCTGGACATTGAATGTGGACTTATAATTGCTTCCTCTCACCTCACTTCTCCTCTTATATTCAGATATGTAGAAGAATAAATGACTTAAATCATGCCCCAAATTATCAGTGCTCTAGAGCTGCTTCTGTGAAAGCCAGTCAAAAGTAAAATCTCAAACATATCCAACACAGGTTTCCTACTCTTTGTGTCTCAGCTGTTTCTGATTTGTGCTGGACTTTTTCACAAGTTTATCAATTTCCAGTTTGACTTCATGCATGAAATTATTCATATTAGTGAATAAGTGGTTATGAATATTAGCCATGTGTTGACATGGTCATGTGTAAAATATTCATAAATAAACCTAATTTATTAAGGAAAAAAATGCTTCAGACCTATTAAAAGGTTTGCAAGGATGCATTAAAAGAAACAAACAAACCTGAACCATTTTCAGATGACAAGACAAGACAGATTTTTCTGCCTCTTAGTACTTTTCTAACGTAAGCAATGTAATTAAAACTTAGTGACATATTAGTGTCAATTATGCCCCCTGCTAATATGCATCATGGCTATCTAGATGCGTAAGCTGGCATGGTGCAGAGGCTCCCGAGTGACCTTTACCTGGATTAAATGCCACAAGAGGAAGGAGGGTGACTGTCTCGGCACCATAGAGTCAAGGACTCATTAATACAGGTCCAGGACTGCTGTCACAGCCCAGCTCTGCTCTGCATGGTTGTGCTGCCTTATGTAAAGGCCAACACATGAAATCTCTGTACCATGCGTGTTTGGGTAGGGGGGCTTGTTCCTGGCTGAGCTACTCCATTTCACCAGGGCTCTGAAGTCTTACAAGGGCCACACATGCCTAGGACAAACAGACACCCCTGGAAAGCTCATCTTGCAGACAGAGATTTCTCTATCACCTGTTTCCAAATGTTTCAAGACCATGCAAGTGGCATCAGGTGGCTTTGACATCTGCACTATTTTTTTTTCCCCTGTGTGCTTATATCATAAAAGCAACATTGGTATTAGCTCAATAGCTTTACCGAATTAACTGTAATTTGGATTCCAAGTAGGAACCTGACAAGACTCTGGCTTGTAAGTGATGTATCAGAAAGAATACACAGATTTATTTTTCACAACTTCATACTGATCTGGTATGCAAAATCCGGTAAGGTAGAGCTGCTGTATATCTCTCATCTTGACATATTCCTCTTTTGGTCTTTTCTGATGTGCATAGTGGATTAGGAAATCAGTTTTGTTGATGAGTAACAAATGCCACTGCTGTCACCTCTCTAAAGAGGGCAATTCACTTCCATAAATCACTCTAGACTTGTCTCCCTCAAATCCCATGCAACTACAGAGTTGTGTGTTTTTCTCCAGCTAACTGGCAGACATTATCACACTCCTGAATTCTAGGAAGGGTTTTGGTTGTGAAAATTGGACTGTTGTGTGGGGAAGGCTCCAGATTACCAAGGCAGACGCATCAGACAAAGGTACAAACCAGGGTGTTAATTCAAGGAGAGAAAGGATGGCTCACCAGCATTAAATTAGTAACTAATAGGATAAAGCATTATCTGGTGCTCCAGAAACATTCTCCAAAATCCTCAATTTGCTTAGTCTGTGCTTATGCCAAGAAAGGTTTGGAAAGAAGCCAAACTCGGCTTGACAGGTCAAGACAGAATGAACTTTAATAGAAATATGGGTCACATTAGTACCACACCAAGGGATAAGGTGCAACTCTGATTACACTCAGGCTGTTTAAAAGAAGTGCTCTGTACCCAGCCGAGATTGGGCTGATTTTCTTAGGGGAGCCAGAAAAAAATAATACGGTTTGAGATATTGGTTTAGTTTTTGGCATGAAGTCTGAATGATCAGGATTTAGCAGAGGACTCTGGGTCTGTCTTTTACACAGTTGAATAATTTTCTCCAGAAATCATTAGATCAGTCAGAAAATGAGAGCCATCATTTTGGCACTTTTTCAGAAATATTTCTCCCTAGGACTTAGAAAAATCAGAAGAAAATCTAACCTGATTCGTTATTTTGATAAGCTGACTAAGACTGTTAAAAACAGAAGAGGAGGCAAATTCATCCCAACTCTAACTCCAGTGAAATACAAATTACAGAGGAGGAGTTTAACTCATTACATTGAGTACTAAATAAAATGTTTATGTAACAGTAAGTTAAAAGTAAAATGCTGAAAAATGGAGTTTTAATGAAATGTATTGAGACTATCCTATTGAAAAGAAACTCGATGACAAAATATATGCAGTAGGTCTAAGAAATATTTAAAAATTAAAAACCAGAAAAAATGGCCATTAGCAGTGACATCAGCTGCTTCTTGATCTCATGTAGCTCAGGAGGTTTCAAAGGAAACATTTTGCTTTACAAAAAAAGCACCAGTGTTATCACTGAGCAGGCACACTGAAGAATAGCAGTGAAAATAACCAGCACAGAACTTCAGTCTGGATGGGCAATCTGCTGGGCAGTGCTCACACAACTCAGCTGTCCACCAGCCATGGACAACATGCTACCACCCATGCTCCTAGAAAGCCACAGAAAAACAGACAAATAAGAGTTGCAAGAATGAATGAAACCAGAGCAAGTGAGAAAAAATTATTTGAGGTAAGGATCTATCTGCTCAAATATCTGCGAGGGAGTGGGCACACCATTATTACTACGGAAATAATCACTTTAAAGTCTGTTAAACAGAAGATGCTGTGTGGAAGTTATTTTACTTGTTACCTAGATTATTACAAGATGACTGAGTTCCTCACTGCCTGAATAAATCTGTCTAATCATCTACAAATTAAAATGGAATTACCTGAAAATCCTATCAAAACAGTAGTCAAACAGAAGCATAAAACTTAGAGTTAATGAAAACCATGTCTTTAAACAGAATGTTTGCTTCTGAGGGCTGAAAGTCAGGTGTACATGCTGCAGGAATGAGGAAGAAGAAACAGATTTACAAACCGTAAGTAACACCTAATGTTCCCCCTTCAGCAGTTTATAATAAATCTGTTGTCCATTAAAATTACTGCACATGGGCACCAAATTCATGAACACCTTCAGAGTGTTCTGCACCTTGCATTGATCTATATTAGAAAGAGAAACTCATTTGGTTGCGGATGAGCTATGGACTTGGCTGTTCAGATGTCAGAAATGCTAACAAAAGCCTGTTAACGTATTGATAAATGCTTTGTAACACACCGCATTGTCATAAAAGAATGAGTCTGAGGCCAGCCAAGCGTAAGAAATCATGCTGCCTGGCAAGGTGTGTGGTCATAATGAGACACCAGCACATTACAAAGCACAAGGTTTAAACTTGGTACAAATAAGATTCTCTTTAAGGCAAAGGAAATTCAACCATGAAGTCAACAGTTTCTACTTCAAATGCTGACTTCATTCTTGAGAGTACCTTGACTTCCAAAGCTGGTATCAATACCAGAGCCATCCCACGACTCTACTGCGCTGTCAACACTTGGGACTGTAGTAGAATAGATGTCTGAGAGTTTGCCAGATTTCTGTGCGGCAGAGGTTTCATCTTCAGCATCGCTCAGTTCATTTATGTGACCCACAGGGACAGAAAATTTCTTGGGACTGGTAGCTGAATAGGATTATAAGAAAAGGGGGGGGGGTGGGAGGTGGTCATTGCTTTAGTGCAGTTCTAGGAGTATGCTTTTTACTAATGACATGACATTTTTCCACGGATGGCCTAAATGCTTGTTAATCTGTAAAAACACACTCATTACAGACCACTGGTGCTGCTTCGGCCATACTCACCATCTGTCTGCTTCTTGATTTTCAGAGTCACAGTTTCTCCTGCCATCTGTAATAAATGAATGGCTTCACTCAAAGGTTTTCCTTTCAGGCTGCTACTATTTATTGCTAGGATCCTGTCTCCTATGTGAATTGCTCCAGTTCTACAGTGAGAGAGAGGAGTAAAACATTAGAAGAGCAGCACAAAAAGCAACAAAGATAATTTGTCTGCATATTTGGAGGCATGAACGTCTCGTCTCTCTTACTCCCATTCTGCTTTCATAGCTGCATTATGGAGTAATCCTATTGTTAGAAATGCTTAAAGCAAGTCACCTTTGTTGTAGTGACAATGGCAGAGCTGAGGCGTGGAGAGATGGATTTCTGTGTTACTGCAGTAGTTAATAACCTATGGATGATATTCATGGCAGCCCACCTGTTTAAGAATACTCTCAGACAGCTCGATAAATCCTGAAATTAATGTAATGTTTCTAGAAGTCTCACAACAGAACAGATAATGGCAGTGGGAGCAAGTAGCCAGCTATTTCACCCGTGTGGTTTTCAGGATGGATTGTAGCATAAGAAGAAAATAAATTCTCTTTGTGTAAATGCACAATTCATTCTGGCTGAGCACAGTTATCGTGTTTTGTAAGTACCAACAAAGGGACTAGTTATGACGACTCTACCTTTTAAAAATGACAGGTGACAGAAAACATTAGCTTTTTCATCATTCTCTATCCATCACTTATCAAGAGGAGCATTTTTACTCCTCGGGTAATGGTAGCTATGGTGTATGTAAGTGCACATACAGGTGTGGTGTGTGTGGACTATGAGCAGAATATTTTCAGACGAAGTTAGACACGTGAAGAGCTTTCTTTACCTGTTCTACTATACAAGGCTACCACTTTTAAAAGGCTGCTAAAACGTTCCTGTGACTACACAGGTTTTCCAATCATATTCACAATAAGGACCACAATCCATTCTTTGACTTGTATAGTATATGCAAGAACATCTATTAGGATATTCCTCGTGCTCTCAAACTTTGTAATCATCTCAAAATATCAGCAAAAAGATTATGAACTCAGATCTGAGGAATTAAAAAAAAAAATAAACAGCTAAACCGTGAAAATTAGCATGTTTAGGTCAACAAAATAAATCTTTACCTTGACAAAAAGAATGCTTAAAAATAATTTTCTTTCCAATTTACCTTTCGGCTAATCCTCCTTTTGTAAGGCTGGAAATAATTATAGGATCAAAGGGCTCTTCAGTACCAGAGATTGTAATTCCAAGAGGCCCACCATAGCGCTTGAGCTCAACAGTATAAATAATTGCTCCAGAGCTCTCCTGTTCATCTGTAATAAATGCCAAGGGGATGCAATTGGTTTCTTATGAAAGAGGGAATGAAAAAAAATAACACGTTCAGTCTAGTGACTGGTAATCAAACAACATTTTCAAAGGATTATATTTCAGATACACCTCTAAATCATATTCTGCTGGATTATTTAGAAAAAAAAAATTGAGCAATTTGTTTTTTATTGCCAGAACCTGATTACATTGAAGTCAATAAAACAATTGCCCTCATTCTAGTAGGACTGAATTTTACTTTGTTTAAAATCTTAATATCTTCTTTCTTATTAAAATGTGACTTCAGGCTTTTTTTATTAGAGAAGAAACATGTTACTATTATTGTATAACTACCAGGACTCTTCTGTTCCTTGAAACAAATGGAGGGTATTTAAAACCAAAGAGAATTTAAAAATTCTAAAAAGAGACTTCCTCAAAAAATTGTGGAAAGGTCAAAAGTCATCATAAGATAAGCAGCTGTCTTAGTAAGAGAACCTGAAATATATCCCATATTTTCAATAGCAAAATTTTAAGCTTTCAGAATTGAATCAAAAACAGCTTCTGAATTACCAACTAAATTGAACAATAACTCCATTAGATTTTTTCTTTTTGATTATTTACATAAAATGTACATAATTTGAAATTTTAATTGCAACAAAGAACCATCACAAATACTCCCCCGTCCATCTTATGCTATTGGCATTCAGCCAGGGTGTTTTGCCTGACAGGCAACTTTTCCTAGATCTGTGGGCAAGGACATTTTTAACAGCTCAGTGAGTGTAGAAAACATCTAGGATGCATATTCTCTAACTGCGACCAAAACTAACCTGAGACAAGTCAGAAAATTCAGATGTTCCCATTTTTTTTTTTTTTCCTGTAGGTAGGAAAAATGAAGAGGAAAAAAGAAACCTGCATCACTAGCAAAGGTTCAAAGAGTTGCTTTCTTCTAACACTGAATGTGGTATGTCAGCAGAGCTGGCGAGACACTAATGTCTTTGAAGTTATTTTGTCTTTTCCCAGTTTGAAGAAAATGTAGGTCTACTTTCCTCCCACCCTCCATCCCTCCCATTTCCCACTTGCTATTGACATAAAGGAAACAGTACACACAATATTCAAAGGAGAGAAGAATTAGCAGTATTTATTCAGCAAAGAATACTGGGATTTTCGTGGCTACTGTTGGCTCTGTATTCTTACCTGGGACATTATCAACAGTGTTTTGGCCCTCAGCACATTTCACACCACCAGCACTTTATCGGACATGGTGTTTCCAAAAGCACCCAACACCCACAACCCTGCTGGGAGCCACTGGCAGGCACACGGTGGGCCAGCACGTGAGTGCCACTGTGCAGCAGAAGAGTGGCAGCTCTTGTTTGCCTCTTGCAGCATTCATGGGACAATGACAAATCCCCCAAGACTTAAAGGTAATGTTTACACAGGTGTGGCGATGACATGTTGTGAGACTTCAGCAGAAGGGTGAAAAGTATTGCACTAAGCTAATTGAAAATACAACAGGCAGTATTTGCTAAGGGTTGACACAATGCTAATGTTTCTCTGTTATCAGTGGTAAGTGAATACGAAGATATTAATTATGCAGCAGTCCTGCCACAAGAGAGTTGGAAGTTTATAGATCTTCGTGAATGACTGGAAAGGAGGCTGGCCCATTATGGCTTTCTTCTGGATAGCCCTAGTTAAGAAAATTAATGGTAAAATGCAACAAATGTCAAATTGCTACATTACTTTCTTCTGTTCTTTCCAGACAACACAAATGCAAGCTATTCAAGAATACGGCCTGTATGTGGCCTGAATATGCAATGAAGACCAGTTTTGCCATGCAAGCAGAGAATTCTGATATTCAAAAAAAGGGTAGCTGCCATTAGGCTAACCAGGAGATAAAATCCTCAGAATTGGAAGTTGGCAGGAAAAAAAAAAAAAAAAAAAAAGGAGAGAAAGATTGCTGAAAACAAACTTCTTCTGAAAACATACTTCCATCTGAGAAGGAAATGCAATCAAATTATAAATTTTTAGGGTCTCTTTTTTTGAGATTATCCTTCTTTCTTTTATCGTAGTGATGCATGTGGGTAATTCTTTGAAATCACATTTAAGGAAATGTCGTTATATTGCCTCTGTGCTGCAGTGCTTCTGTTCCATCCACTAGTCTCTTGCTCTTTAGAGTAACATGGGACTGATAAAAAAAAGTGCAAAAAAGAGCACAGTTTGAGGGAGCACGTAATGTGTTACCCTGCTGCTGCATTCACGTGCATGGTTGACTGTGAGGGACAGACTTGAGCTACATAAAATCATCTGCTGAAGGGAGAAGTAGAGAGAGAGCAGAAGGAAAAACTGAAGACAGAATAGGAGCTAGAAGCTACAAATACACTGAAATGAATACCAGAAGAAAAGGTTTGATAGATAAAGAGAGAATGAGAACCTAGGCAAGAAGAAAACCCTGCTTTCTGCTTTTCCCTCTTCAAAAATGAATGCTGTGGGAGGCCAACAAATATGAAAATCTTATTCTCATTCTGATTTAGAAATTGTTTTGGAGTGCTCCACCCTTACTCATCTATTAGCATCAGGCTTTTGTTTTATTAGGTTTCAAAATTTAAAAGTTTTCAAAATACCTGAAAATCTGCTATAGATGTCTTAAATTACACGTTGACACTACTCAACTGTTATAAGAACCATTTGTATTGAGAATTCTGTTCAGCAGGTCTCTGAGCTGTCCATCTCCATTCAAATATGTTCAGCTACACCAATCACATCTACGTAAAACACTAGTTGTGTAAGAATCTTGATGCAGATAATGCAACTGTAAAATAACCAACCTGAATACGTAAAAGAAAACCACAAAGTAAGAATCTCAGTCAGACTAAAATCTGTACCAGGTGTAGCACACCGTGGTAGCTAAGAGAGCAAAGATGTTATTTTACATGGATGGACACTGAAATCCACATTTCAGTGATGGTGACAGAAAATATATACTACCTTCAGTGGAAATAGAAGCTATTTGGGAAAGACTTTACGGCCACGGGAGGGGTGGGGGCAGGAAAAACCCACAAGCGTTTGAAAGTGTGTGAGAAATTATTACTTCTACGTGGCTCTAACTCATGCCTCTCTTCTACAGGCTGTGAGCAATTTCTCTACAGGGTTACTGATGGGATGCAGTCTTCCAAACAATGGGAAGAAAGTAAAGGAGCGATCATAGATACCACGAACATTTAAAAGATGGACCTCCTCACATGCAGGAGGAAACTCAAACTGCCTTCTACAGGTATTTCTCCTGTTAAACTTCCACCAACTGTATTTGCAGTTTGTTCTTCATAAGGTAACAGAATTTCTCAATTTTCCAAAGCAACTGTTAGGCAGGTGTCTCTCTGGATGTACAGCCAGTGAGGCCAGCCTCTCTCCAAGATATAGGCATCAGGTTTAGCAAACACCACCTCACCACCTGCAGGGGCCTAACCACAATATTCTGCCAAGCAGCAGCCATTCTCTTTGATGGATCAAAATTAACTTCTGAAAGCCAATTTGCGCATGGTGCTAAACTAATCCGCCTCTGCTTTGTACTGATCATACTGAGAAAATACTGTTTGCTTTCAAAAGCCGTTAAAGGAAAAGAGCATTCTAGTGCGATTCTAAACATCACTTCAACAGTTACACTTGATTTGAAATAATAGTGCTTTTTTGTTGTGGGATTGTACAGAGCTTAAGACAAATGAATCTACAGTATGTGCCTTTATGGGATGCCATAATATAAATCCCAACAGTAATGGTAGTTAAAATTGTCTGATATCCTTTGCCACTAAAGTGCATAGCAGAACTCATTTCATTATCTCCAGGTAGAAATTTTGCTTTTATGGAATCCGTAATTGGGAAGATACAGGAATATTAATAGATGTAGATGTGCAAAATGATGGCAACTCCATTGGGCTGACTGTACATGGCTCCTGCAATAGCCATCCAGCACAGCGAGTGAAGTACTACTTACCTTTATGCACGTGAACAATCCTACTGAAGTCAAGCTTTTGTGTTTATGGATAAAGCATGCACTGCCCCATTCTGCTGTAGAACTATGTATCCATAGTGCTTTGCTATCCATGATTCCAATCTTAAAACCAGAGAAAATTTCAATATGCTGATAAGAGAATGATCAACCTTGTATGTTTACACCTGAAAGGAAATTGCGTCTCCAGAAAACTGAAGACCTCCTTTTACAGCACAGCTCCTGAAGGTGACATACCACTGAGATAATTCAAAAATGTATTGATTATTTTTTTGTTTCTACTTTGATGCTTTTTGATTAGCATTAGCAAAAATCAATGTATAGCAAAACCATTTCACTAAAAGTTAAATGTGAAAAAATAAACCTATGTTCTAAAAAACCACTGAAATACACAAGAATTGTAATAGGCACATTGCTAATACCAGAATTATCTTCATCTTTGCGGATCTTTAACTTTACAAGGTCCTCACAGTGCTGAAGGATCTGAACAGCATCTTCCATCGAGCAATTGTCAAGTCGAATGTTATCTATTGCAAGCAACTTGTCACCCAGTTCCAGTGTCCCAGTTCTGTGAACAAGCAAACAAGCTTACATGAAATGCTAGCAACATTAAAGCAAAGTATTTCACACTGTCTAATCATTAATACAGAAACAAGATGGATTTCTTTAACAGCTATTTATTTATACATTTTGCACATAACTGCTGTACACTAAATAAAAGTAGAAGTCTCTTACAAGCTTCTTCTGATTAACTTGAGTGTAGCTGGCGATACAGCAGAAACAGATTTCTACTGGGAGCTTGAGTGCCTTACCTGTGAGCAACACTTCCTTTCTTGATATCAGAAATAACCAGAGGGTCCCCCGGTTTTCTGCTGGATGGAGCTGTAATAAAGAATAGACACAAGCATTAGTCTTAATTTCTGTATGTGCACATAGGCTGATTCTACCCATAAATAGTGTGTAAGAAATACTGATTTACCTACATTATATTTATCTCTTTCCCCTACACTATACATACATGAATACAAACAGTAGCATCATATTACTAAGACTCTAAATACTATTTCTCAAAAATTAGAAAATGCCAGAATTAAAGGTGACCAGTGCAAAATAAATTTAACCTGAGATGTCTGAATTTTGGCTCTGGCCAGGACTCAACCATGCAAAGCTCAGTGATTCATCTTAAAATGCTGTGTAGCTACAACACACAAGGGAAGACTTCTGTTAGCAGAACCTTTCAGCACAACTACTGATGCTGACCTTTTGCCAGAATATTTCTGTCAGTCATAAATCATGTTTTATTAGATCCCCAACCAACAGAGCAGTTCTGGCTAAATTTCTAGAGTGGGCTACACCACATTCGTTACACCCACTACTGTCTCATTCAGTGCTTACGGCGGAGGCATGAAGATGGTGCTGACTGGGTGAGAAAGGGGCTATCTCCTTCCTGATAAATCAGATGCTGTGGATGACTGCCACACGTACCACTGGACTGATGCACAGTTATCACCTTTGCACTGATGTAGCTTGCATTGTATGGATACTTGCTTCACTGTGACTCACAGATTCCTCTGAAGTAAACATATGGACCTTCTGATGAGTAACCTTGCTCCTCTAACTCTGCTGCTCAGCTTTATGCATTGTGGACCTTTCCCCACTTTGGGCTGGGGATAGAACCACAGCAATTCCAGCAATGTTCAAATCAGTAAACCCCCCAGCAGACCTCTCCATGCCCACCTAACTCATCTCTTCTTAGAGGTATGTGATATAATTTTCTATTCGCTCTTTGTCCATCATGATAAAGAGGATGCTCTACTCTACAATGACAGATATTGCAATTTTTAACAACTTGTGCAAAAGTACGTGTCAAGTTTTACCTTGGCAAGTTGTGCAAGCCATTCACAACGCTGCTTAGCTTAGCAATTTTACTTGACTTTTGGTTGTATGGGAAGCAGTTGACTACCCCAGAGGCAGGAGACAACTGTGACTGCTTCCAGAGGATTGCTTCTTGGCAAAGCTTCATTGACTGCATTGCTTTGGAGAATTTATGCACTTGCTGATAAGGTGATGACCACACTGAAGATCCGATAAGGCAAGCAGTGGGCTCAGAACTTGAGGATGACAAAAGGGGTTTTTAGAGGATAGTGTGCTGCCTGCTGTCAGAAAGGATACTACCTAGAGCTGCTGGGGTAAGGAGGTAGTCCACATGGGGAACACAGACTGACTCTTGGTACTGTCATTATAGAAGAGCATGCTGATATTAAAACATTGCTGTTGGTATAAGGCTGTCAGTTCTCCTAAAAGTACCAATGGTTTCACACATCTGAGGCTCTTCAACTGCCCTAAGGCATTTCTGACTTGTGCCAGCTGAGGCCTCTGCATTCACACCCAGAAAGTACTTCTCCATTAGGCTCCAGTGCCTAGCTGACAATCACCAAAAAGCTACTAGTATCGGTGGAGGATCACCTACAAAATCATGTCATTCACTACAGCAACTCATGCTTCTCTTGGGTGGAAAATGAGGTCTTCTCCTATGGCAAGCCCAAGACGTATGAATAATGATGTTCCCAACACAATATTCTAACAGATCTTGTTAATCTCAGCTGCCCTGGACAAGAAAGCTTTTGAATGTCCACAGGAACTGTGTAAGTTCTGCTGAGCAGCCATATTTCAATGTAGTATGTTGAAAGTACAGAACACAGAAGTATGAAGACTCTCAAGAACTTTTAGAAACTAGTCTAAAGCAGCAGGCTTTCAGGAAGTGCATATGTTCCAATCTGAGAACAGAAATTAACATTTTGTCAGATGCATACATTTCATTGCTTGTTTCTTGTACTTTCACACCATGGGTCAAATATATTTTATATGGCAGTTCCAAGATTTACTTGAATACTCTGGGTTTGTTTCATCATTTGGTGCCTTCTTAGAATTTTAAAGTTATTACTTTGGTGAACTCTTTTTTTTTTTTTTTTTTCCCTAAGATGCTATATTTTGACCTTCTGGGTTGACTCACAAATCCCTGAGGTCATATGCATTTACAGTGCCCGCACTTTAAAATTTGGGTATTGATACAGTTTTTATTAAACTGCTTTCACAAAAACGATCAGTACTAAACCAAACAGTCCTTCATTATTCCAAAGAAAGAAGAGAAAAATCAAAAAAGGGCAGAGATGAAACTCAAAATGTGAATGCACAGTGTAGACATGGACGCAAGGAGTAAGATATTGCACATGTAATTACCGCACTGTCCAACTGAACAAGTGTGAACCAGCACCATTTTGTCATTTACCCTGTGCTATTAATTGCCTGCTGGATTAAAGTCTTTTTGCAGGCAGCAAATGCAGTTCAGTGTGAAATTAATACTCCTATGCCGACAAGCTCTTAATAGGCATCTACACCACACTTTCTTTTTTCCTGTTTTATTCTAGTTGTTCAACACTCATGACATATTACAAACTATTTAAGTTCTGTTGAAGAGAGAAAATCGATTTCCTCCTGAACTTTTGTACTGCACATCACCACAGCCTGACTGGTCCCAGACACTGGCAGACAGACTCCATCCCCCACAAAAAGACTGAGTACTATGACTACTATGATCCTCAGTTTACAGATGAGGAAAGAAAACCCAGGAACTTTTCGGTCAAAGTATGGCAATTTTCAGTGAGCAATTTGAGATACCCATGCCCTAATTTCTCACAACAGCTTGTAGTATATAACAGCTTCTATGTCCAAAGCACAACTACTGGCATTTTCAGGAACAGCTGTAAACACTCAATATTTTGACAAGTGCAACCCCAGGATCTCAACTTTTCTCTGGAAAATCAAGCAGAAACCTGTGGAAAGTGTCTTTTTTTTTTTTTTCTTCCCCTCTCTCCCCCTCTCTCTTTTTCCCTGTGAAATGACTTGCATCTCAGCACAACTCTATCAAAGGGAAAAGGAAAAAACTAATTTCTCCGGGGTAGCATTGAACTATCTTGACCATGAGATCACCTCTTTTTGCTTTCTGCAATCTTCCACTTCATTCATTATGCAGCCGTCATCCCCTTTGCTACACAGCACTGTTATTTCTCCCCAGACAGCAGAGAAGGAAGAATCGCAGGGAGAAGGCAATATTTGACCATTTAATTAAAAAGATATCCTTATGAATTAACACAAGATGTTTGAAGTGACACTGTATGGCCTTAAATGTCCATTTTTGTTTCGTTTCAGACTTATTTTTGATTTAAAAAAAGAAACAATTACAAGCAATATCAAACCAAGACCACAAGCAGGCATAAAACCTTGAGATTTACAACACAGATCCAGGTGACAGAATCACATGGGGAAGGGGCAGGGAGGGAGATGAGAAATTTGCTTCTACTAGAAAATGCTGTAAATTAGGAACCCTGAGGTCTAGTCTTGGGAAGGGCTCCAGTCCCTTGTGCTCCTAGTCCATGTCAAATCCTTTTCCCACAGTTCTCTCTTTCCTTGCAATCTCCATTGTGGCTTCATACGCATGCTGTCCTGATGTTATTTTTTCCCCCACCATAACAGTTCCTTGTCACACCTGCTTCTTTCTCCTCACCTTAGGGCTCACCCATGTCCAGCCCTCTTGATGAAGTCCCAACACCCCCGACCCATTATCACACCTCAGTCTCTTTCCTTGTTTCCCGTCTCCCTGTTATGGCTATCCACTTGGTTTCTTTCCTCATCCAACAAAGATCAAATCTTTTCTCCCCCGATTCAGTTCTTAGTGTACCTACTGTTGAGATCCTGTGGAGATCTTACACAGTCCGTATGATGAACTGCAAGTAGTGAAGAGTGCCTAAAGTGGTAAATTTAGCGTTGTAACTGGAACTTTGACCTTCAGCAAGCTCCCTCTCTATTAACGACTCTATGGTCCTAAGTCTCAGTTCCCAGCCTGTACCCTACTCATACTAGTAAAGACACTTTGCCTGCCTACCTCTAGTCCCTACTTAGAAGCAAGTTTAGTAAAACATTGTTAGATTTGTAGATTAGCTGTTCTATTAGGTAAAAAACAACCAAACCAAACAAACAAACACACATTTTGCTATTTTTATTTTTCTGGTAACTCAAAGGAAAACAAAACAAAACAAACAAACAAAAAAAAAACAACAACATTGCAGGTTAAACAGAGAATTTGGGTAGATATCTTACCCAGTAATAATCTGCTTACTAGACTCAGCCTGGCTTCAAGTTTTGGAGTTTGATCAAACTCTGAACCAATTGCAGAGGAAAAAGCTCATAGGATGGAAAAAAATATTTTTTATACAAAGTCAGCCTACTTACTCACAATGACAGTAGGATAGGATAGTTCAGTTGGAAGGGAGCTACAAAGATCATCAAGTCAAACTGCCCTCAAGGCTAACTAAAAGTTAAAAGTTATTGAGGGTATTGCCCTAATGTCCAAAAGAGCTGTTAACTAGAATTAACAGAATAGATTAGTAAGTAGTTTTCTCAGAAATAATTAAATTTATTTAAAAAATACTAGTCTATGTAAAAGTACCTAGCTGCACAAAAGTTTATCCTGAAAAAAATAAAGAGAAATCCATATTCTATTACATGGTTTAAAATCAGTATCACTGGCAAGTAAATTGAAACAGATTTGAACACTACTAGATCTACTAGAAAGCTCTCCTTCTGTGGAATGGTTCTGTTATAAGAACATAACTGTACATGCACACACACAACATGCTGTGTCATACTTTATTTGGATGACCTAATTTTAAAAACTGAGGCATTCTAATTGCTTCAACCAGGTAAGCAAGAGTGAAAATGATGGTAGCTGAAGCATGAAATGCATAGTCACTTGTCTTTTCAAATTATTCAATAAGTTCTTCGTTGAAGTAGGTAGATATTAATGGGAAGAACAGTTGATCGTATATATTGCAGGGATAAGGGAAGGCCAAAGGAGGATAGAAGTTCAGTACATGTGTTAAGGCAGCATTGGGCAAGACCATTTTAATGATACTGACATAACTGATGTTCACTACTTAAAACTTAGCACATTGGATTAACGTTAACAGTGTTAATGATGTTCATGAAACTTGAATTTGCCTTACTTCATAAGGGTTTTTACTATCAAAGTGTTTTTTGATTTGTTTTGGTTTTGATTTTTTTTTTTTTTTGGGGGGGGGGGGGGGGGCTTAATAAATCACGAACTAAGAGAAGCTAAATCTCTTCCCCTATTACTTTTCATGTTTCCCAAAGACTGTCTAGAGTGTTGTGTGCCACCTCAGATATGCCTTCAATACTCAGCTGGAAGGCTAGATGCTTATTACCAAAGAAAACACGAAGAAAGAAAATAAATTCCTCTTCCAGGATATCTGCCTCCTAACAGCTAACTTAGAAAAATTTCTAGACTTAAAATTAAGCATACGTTCAGATGCCAACCTGAGGAGAGCCCTGACAAGAAGTGCCTATCTTGTCTATTTTAGTCATTTCCTGACTTCGTCAACCAAACACCAAACTACACACGGGATAGGGAAAACAAAATATGTATTTTCTGAAATGTTTTGATAGAGACAGAATTTCTCACTCACTGTTAACTCCACAGCCTTGAAAACAAAGATGATGAACCGCACTAGCACTTAAACAGATCAAGTCCAAATGTGATCTCCTGCAGCAACCCTGTTTAAGCCTGGTCATAGCAACGCCCTTGAGTTTTCAAAGAAATCACATTGCTTCCTGACAATATCAGTAAAAAATGAGATGCTAATATGTTAAAATACCATGAAAAAAATTGGACAAAATGGATAGAAAACATTTATATTTTGCAAATCACATTGTCTCATTTAGGAGATAATTAGAACAGAGGAAAGTACTGAAAAACAAGTAAGAAATGAAGCAATTCAAGGCTTTTACCAAGGAAATTTACATTTTTTCAGTTTATAGTATAAATGCTTTAAAATCAAACAAAGGGCTAATCTTAGACAAATTTTATATGCATTAAATACTACCAGCACCTGGGAGTATTATATATAACAGATAATTAAATTTACATATTAAAGATACTGCAGTACACTCAGAAGAACAGAGCCAAGACCAATCAGGTGTTCCTCTGGTTACATAAAGCACTAATTTTATGAAGTACAAACTTTTGGAATTAAGTTCCAAGTAAGGAAGGTATGCCAAATTTGGAAGAGTGAATAACGCTAAATCTCTGGAACATCAGTTTTCCATTCAGTCTATTACTCTAGTCAAATAGAAGTACAAGATGTCCTGAATTCCAGAAATCAATACAAATAATATTTCTAGAAAGGTAGTATTTTTACTGTAATCCTATAAATCATGACTGATTTTAAGAATATTTATATAAAACAGCCTCTCTCCCCATTTTCTGTTTCCTCAATATTTTCATTTGCATAAATACGTGTAGACCAAAGATTTTTCTTCAAGCATCACATTTTAGGGAGTCCAACAATTATGCATTCAAGTCTGTAACACAAGAAACAGGTCTGCAATGTCTTTCATTTGTTCCTTAGATGTAATTCTTAGCACTGAGCTCCCTGCTGTATTTTTGATTAACTTTTTTCCATTGTGCTGCTAAAAGATTTGAGAATATAAGTCAAAGCACAATCTTTCCCCAAGATACATGAATAATTCCAAAGACAGACTATTAGCTTAGAAAGGCCACTACCATAAAAAAAAATAATTAATAATAATTTCAGTGAGGCCAGATGCAGCACTGGTATTATGCACAGTGAATGTAAGTCTGTTAGCTCGGATATAGATTGCTCCTCCATCCACCAAAAGTTGAACTTGGTATGCTGGACCTTACCTGATCAAAACCCAGTCCTAACAGAGCTTTTACTGTCTGATCCCCAAATAAGAAACATTTTGATTTCAAACAAATACCAAATACTTTTTTTGAGAACTACACTAATGCACACCCTTGTTACCTTCTTCAACCACCTCTGAAGCCCCTGGTGAAAGAAGATTTTGCAACGTGACCTGCACATTTAGGACTGTCCACAAGTTGTACAGGTTGAGAATGTATCTTCAAACTGTGTCCTGAAGCAGGACACAACCTATTGTATGTGGATTCCCATGCCTGTGAGAACCCTTGAGGTCAGTGGGGTTCTGCAACAGGCCATGACTGGTTTTGCTTGCACCTTTCTTAGCTATGGAAGTAGTTTCACATGTGCTTAATTCTAATTACCTGTTTGTTTTTTTAAATTAGATTTAATGAGAGTTAAATATATGTTACACATGAAGGAATAGGTCAAGCTTTTGGCCTGGCAAACTTCTGGCATCTTTAACTGCTATGGGGGGGGGGAACAGAAATCTGTCACAGGGTAATATTTCATCAGGGAAAGAGCACTGCTAATCACCCCATTCTAGAAATAGAAAAAAAAAAAAATAGTTTACACCAAAATAAGCATAAGCCTACAACTATAGGACCTACTATCTGCAGATTATCCCATCACCACAGTCTTAAAAATAAGCACTTCCACTTACAACTTATCGTGATGCCAAGTTCCACGTTATGCTTCTTTGGTAGTTTGACATGAAATGTTCCACTGCTTGGTATAACAGATTCTACAAAAAAAAATACAAATAAAAATAAAAATTAGATAATTTATATGACACAGCAATTCTGAGTTAATGGAACTACACATGTAAACTGATGAAATCACATCAACATCACTAGTCAGGGGTGAAACACGGGTGCTGAAATGAAGGAAGTAGGACATACAAAGTATGATTTATATCTCTATTGGTAATTTCACAGTAACTCAATTTTTTTAAGGTTTAACTGAATTTATGGTGATTGCACAGACAAGCAGCCAGCTGAGACTGCATGTTTTTAGCTTGTATGCAATTTCTGTGAGCACACATGAAAACGTTAGCATGGGCAGATAGGTTTTAATTAAAAGGACAGGAGATCAAGTCTTAAGAATTTCAGGCTTTTGTTGCTGTAGATCTAATACATTTTTAACTATTTGCTAAGGCAAGTGCCATGGATTTTACATCTACTGGGAAGAAATGAGATCAAAAATGCACTCATGAAGAGGCATCTAGAGCTGACTGAGACAAAAAAAAATACACAACACTGCACTGAATTCTGACTTTTCACACCGCTGCTACCAAAAGTTTGTTGGCTTGAAGAAGAGCGAATTAAAATTCCAGCTATTTAAGTACATAAACATACATATGGCAGGAGAGTCCAATGATGAGTATAAGTCTGCTGTTATGGAGCAAATGGGATGAACATAAGTCCAGGGACCAAAACACAAACCTTATTGTCCTTGTGACTTGAGGCATATTTAAATGTGAATTTTCCATTATTTTGTTTTCATAATTTTTAATATTCCATTTCCTATTTATACAGATGCATAAATTGTATTTCACCTTTTTTTTTACAGTATACTAGATATGTACATATTAAAATACCACAAAGAATTATACTAAGAACATTTAGCCTGCTTTTGACATCATGATTTATAATACCATTAACAATAACTATACAACTATAACTATACTATACTATAACTGTACTATGGAAAATACAGCACATCCAACACTGTCATAACTTCAAAGGAGCTACTCTCAGATAAGCACATAAGTCTTAAAAGTTTTTACTCTTAGTGGAGTAATGCACATACATGAAGTGTACGTGCTTGTTTTACACAATTTGTGATTATATAGATGTATTCTGTATGCTTAAACACATTATGGAAGAAAGGAAATATATTAGTAATGATAAAGGCTCACCAACAACATTAACAATGACTTTTCTGATTTTTACTAATTCAATTTCTAATTTTTTTATTTTATTTTTTTTAAGATAGTGCTGAGTTAAACTCTCCAGACTTTTCTGCTTACCCATCCTTTTATAATACTTTTTTGTCTAGTAACACTTTTCATTAGCTGTCCTGTAGAGGATTTGTCTTGACTCATCAGAGTATTTCTATCTCAGGGCAGAAATTTGTCTGGAAATAACTTAGAGGAAGGACTGTCACCAGATCTTTCTAAGGACTTGTCATTTCTGTTTGTGTTCTGAAACACGCTGCAGGGCTAAGTGGAATGAGAAAGCTGCACAAAAAGACACATGTTTCAAGCAGGTCACATGAAAACTGAATGGTGTATTTGAGAAGAATGTCCCCACCGTTGATACCTAACACTTGCAATATCCTTAGGATTTATTCCTTTGCTTTTCTTACAAGACAGAATAACAGTACATTCATACCTGCAACATCAAATTCTATTTCCAAGGTGACCTTGTTGGTGATAGAGGAGTCTCTGAGCAGTTGATTGGCCTCATCAAATGTGCTGTCTTCTGTTGGGATACCATTTATTGCCACTATTCTGTCTCCTATTTGCAGGACCCCACACCTTGGCACACAATGATACATAAAAATAATCAGACATGCATGTTACCAGAACCAGTAATACCAATAATAAAAGACACACTCAACCTAGCCTTAAAGAAGAAGTGGCAGAGCAGCTCCAAAGGCACCTGAGGACAACCCAAATTGCTGCTGCCCCTTTGCACCCCGACACTATCAGCACTGCCAGTATGGCTTGAGCTCTCTAGGTGTGCCAGGACCCACGAAGGGGGCATAGCCTTCATGCCTCCACTCCACCCATGGACATCACCTCTCACCCCAGGCTACAGGTGTTGCAGCACTACAATGGCACCTAGAAGCTGCCTGTGCAACTACTGCTGCTCTGTATGAATTCATGCCATGACTAAAAACATACAAAAGCATAAAAATGCAATTGTAATGTTGAGATAAAACAAATAGTAAACCAGCTCCTCCCAGTCACGATTCTGGTATTTCCCCAGATTTCGTTCTGTAACAAAACATTAAAGAATGGGATATGGTTTCCCCCCATGGCATGCTGCTTTGACTTCAGCAATGTTTTTGATTTTTGTTTATTTGTTTGTTTTTGTTTTTGAATGAATATAGCTTCTAGTCTCCTGCTGGAGGATTCTGGATGATGAAAGCATTGATGCTTGTCATTCTTCTTACAGCTGACCAAGCACATGAAGTACCATTGTCAGAACAGACAGTTTGTTACTTGACACGCTTCCATTGAGCAACGCCCTGCAGTTTAGCACAAATCAAAAACAACAAGCCCAAACTACCCCAAGGAATGCTCATCAAAATGTACTTAGCAGTTATCTGGAAGAACCTCACCTTTCCGCCGGACTGTCAGACTCAATATAGGAAATGAGGGGTGGAGAAGACAAGGTCTCGGTAGCAAACACGCTACCCTGGAGCTGTATCCCAAACCCTACTATGGGGTCAGCTGTCAGCACTACTTCCGTGGTCTCTGTGTGGACGACCTGCCCCGCCAAACCAACAGTGCTAGAGGCTAAAGACACTATAAAACAGAGCAGACCAGGAGTAAAGACACTCGTTCATACACGGACAGCAGAAATTTCATTGCTCTTTGAGAAAATTGATCTGTACAATAAACCTAGTCAACAAAACAGCCCTTTAAAATTCAATTTAGGCTGAAGTTTATAAATGATGTATAAACAGTTATGACATATAAGAGAATAGAAAACATCTGGTTATAGGTTATAACGCAGAAAGATAGTTCACGTATTGAGCAAAATACATTTGTTTGATACCCCCACCCCAAAAACCTCCGAACATCCCTGAATTCTGTTTGCATTAAGTTTGAGGCATGGATGGGCAGAGTTTTCACAGTAGCTAAGGGATTTAGAAGCATGACCCCAGCTGTTATTCAGGCTGATTCCCAGGAGCACTTCTGAACATCTCACAGCAATGTATTGTTCTTAGCAACAAAGCACACGCTCCAGGCTTGCTTGCAAGAAATAGGGATGCCTTTTTCTTATATCAACTTGCACATGTTTACTACACATCAGCAATATGTCAGGCTAATTGGGTAATGTAAGTTGAACTAGCATCTCTGTCTTAGCAATCAGCAACTCTAAAGAGATTGTGAGAAAAAATAATTTCTGTGGGGTCTCTCAAAGGAACTGGCGAACCATTTTCTGAAAAACCCTGACAGCTTCTTCTGCATTTCCAAGATTCCTCTACATCTACTCCCTGCCTCTATTCTCATTCTGAATAGGATGCATTACAGAACAAATCAGAATGAAAACAACATTGAGATTCAATGCAATTATCTATGAAAGAAACTTTTGTATTTTTTTTGACCTCTTCCTAAAAGTAATTTGAACCATTGCTTGAACTCTCCCAGTGACAGACTACTGTCTTTCATTACGTCATACACAGAAAGTTAGATAGATTTTTTTCAATATCTGTTCAGAACAGTAAAGCAATGTTTCGGTATTGTAATGATAATCCTCTAGTGATGAAGATTTTGAATGTTTTCACGTTATAAACCTGTGCTATTACCTCTGCACCTCTAAAGTCCCTCAAGACCCATTTCTTCCTGCATTAGCTACCAAGAATTACATAAAAAGTCATGGTTTATCTGAGGGATAGCTTAAATTTCTTCTTCTTCTTTTTTTTTTTTTTTAAGGTATGGAGAAAAAGTTGTCCTTTCTTTTACATTATAGATAATACTAGCACAGCTGTACAAAGATGTCAGAGGTTCTATAAATATTTTCCTTTCTTTGAGGCTACAAGCACTAGACCTGCTCTGAAACAGTATCAAGAGTGATTAATGTGGCACCAGTCAGCAATGATGACTCCAAAAGTTGCAGAAGTCTCATTTGCCGAAACTCATCAGTTTCTGTTTTCTCCCAGAAAAGCTACTTTCAGTAATACATTTGACTCTGAAACCAATTCTCTTTTCCTTACTAAATTACTGTGAATTCTCATGTCTTATTTTCATTTTCCTTTGTAAGAATACTCTTATTTCTTCTGTTCAATAGCATCCTTCTTACTGTTTCCTTTATCTGTACTGAGTAGTACATGCTCATACCCAAATACAAATATTAATACTGATAATCTATTCTCAGAAATGGTGATCAGGTTTAGCATTTACTGCATGTAGAAAATAGGTTTCTCCAGCCCTCAATACTGTGACAGCTAAAATATAACTAAAACAAATAATTCAAAGTCAATAATAACAGATCCCCTAACCCACTTTCCAGAAATTTCTAAATTTAGAGCATCCAAGCTCATAAAAGTTCCACTATCGCTTTCTTTAATATCATACAACAATTCCTTGTTAGCTGAATCTTTGTTTCCTATTGCTTGTGTCCATTCCTACTCTGCTGTACTCTTCTTACTCTTCTTCTAATACCCTACCAAGAATCTAAAGGTCTCATAACATTTATTTAAACTTTTAGGACAGTTAACGTTTTAATTCATATTGTGAAATTGTTAATATTTATGAGATTTAAAACTCTCCCTGACAAATACTTTCATGATGTGGACACTTGTAAGTGTCCATTTAGACACTTTGAACCATTAGGACCATTAGGAACTCCTCCTACTCCCAAAGAAAATGAAACAAAAAGGGGACCAAAAGGAGCAGAGATGAAAATACTCTCCTGAATCATGTAACAAAAGCTTTCTGTCAAGCTTCTATAAAATGTGACATGACTTCACACTTGTTGGAATTTATAATTCAACAACTGTGGCAAGAAACACTGCCTATTTTTTTCGGCTGTGTGATGCACTTAAAGCTGTAGACACCACAAAGCAGCCTTTGCAAGGATTCTCATTGTTTTAAAAAGGGCGCATCAATGGGTAAATGGCCCCAGTGAATCCTGTTTGCTGCTGCTACGGGACATATCCTAGCACCCTTTTTTTCTTTGCTTCCAATTCTTAGTGACAATTGTGGGGCCTAGTTTACTATATGCTATTCATAACGTAAATCATAGTCTTGAATTTGAAGGTTATGTACTTTTTACTTTTATTCTTGCAGCTATAAGAGAAGCAGAACAAGATGTCATCAAAGCTAAATATGTAGTCTCCTCTTTGAACCTTGGAAAACCCAAAATGTTTACTTCTTGCTAGCAGCTAACTTGGATGTGCTGAGAAAACTTCTACACAGCCTGAATAACTACCATGTAAGTTGGTATAAAATTATGCCTGAATTTCAAGTACTATTATGAACCTACTACAAAATACTTCAGGATTTAAACTTTAACCAAATAAAAAAATAAATATTTTCACAATGAGTATCATAATTTAAAAAAAAAAGTAGAGGAAGAATAAAGATGGAAAACAAGTGGCACAAATAAAGCACGTGACAGCAGAGCATGCTTTCAATTTTTACAGCCACGTCTGGAAAGATCTGCATAATTAATGCAATAATTGCAAACTCCTGGCCATAAAAGTGTTGTAGCACTCTGTACCATTATGCTTCATTATCATAAATTTTGGAATGATCACTAATGTAGGCAAGTTTTGCTAAATAATTGGCAATGCAAACTTTATAGCACCCTTCGTCAATACATCCTTTTCTTGCCAAATGATATCCCAAAGGATTTATTAAGTTACATTTTAAAAAAAACCAACAAACACAAACAAACCCTTGAAGGATTAAAAAAATAAAAGGATCACTGAAATTAAGATAACTTGCTATTCCTTTTCTATGAAAAGGACAGCAGTCAGTGCTACCTGGTTCTCACGAGTCTCCCACAGAGGGAGAGGGCAAAGTTTTCCAAGTCTTGTTGATGGGAGGTGGAAGGGTACAGGACCAGTCTTTCTCTATCATGGTCACTTGTAGCACATTCAGTCCAGTGTGGTTCTCTTAAACTGGCTGTTATTGCAGTCACAAGTACAGGTAGAAGTCTAGCAATAGCAGGAAGGAACTCTGCGTGTGCTGAAAAGCAAGCTCACAGAAAGGGCAAGCAAGCCTGGGTGGCCTGTTAGTTCCTCTAAAGCTAGCTCTGATTCAGGGTTGCTGATGGAGTCACTGCTCATAGCGAAAACAGACTCTGCCCACCCCATCCCACCCCCAGTACTGGGGTCAGTTCCACACATTTTGTAATGCTGTATATCCAGACCTCACAATAAGGCAAATGCAGAATAAACTACCCCACAACAAAGCCTCATCCTAGTATCTCCTAGCCAGAGATTTGCTTAATCATAGCAGATTCTCATCTTTGAGGTGGGCTGCAGTGCTTTTGTGACTGTCCCACTGAATCTAATGTCACTGGCCTTGCTTTGAGACTTTGCAGGAAAACACATTGCAGGTTAAGGCCTCCTTGAGTGAAAAATATCTGAAATATCAACAACATAAGTAACAACTGTCTCCAAGATCCATAATCGTAGTAAAATTGCTTTCAGGGTTACCAGTTCTTTGCTGTATGGAACTGCTATGATACAGCAGAAGTTAAGAACTGTAATTTGCATCCAGCATTATATTACTATTTAAAGCAATTAGTATTAGTGTAAAATTACTACTTTTTCTCATATGCATGTGAGGACACATAAAAGCTGGATCCCTACTGATACCATAGCACGGATGGGCACACTATCTCCCCATGACCCCAACGAATGCATTAGAAGCTAATGTTTCATGAGTAGTGATAAATGGCTGATCAGATTAAAAATTAAAAAAATGTACTTACAGGCAAAGTTATGTAAAAATATTTGCTTTATAAAAGAAATAAGAGCAAGCAAGCAACAAAAAAAAAACTTTGCAAGAAAGCAAGACCTCAGTTCCTCTCTCAAATGTTTCTTCTCAACTCCATAGTGACTGGGCTTGGTTGGAGGCTGCTGTTTTGCCCAGATTTTGCTATGACCATGGGAAATCTTGAATATGGGGCAGCAGCTCATTTTTCCAGACTGAACCTGTGAGCATTATTAGCTGTAGCAGATTTTTGCATTTTGTACTTCTGTGCTCTGAAAGAACTGAGCTGATGCTGGCCCTGAGGATCGCGTGTTGACAGACAAGCCAGAAGGAGGGATGGCCCTTATGTGGAGTCTAGGAAACATCGCACTGATACAGCCGTACTTTTATCGGCCCAGTGAATATTTTGCAAGATACCAAGTGGAACAGACTGAAATATATCCAGCCTGGCTTGGGAAATTACTGGCTCATGGGAAATTCATGCTTTGAATCCAAGAGAGTGGCCAGAAACAAGGCTATTTAGTGTTCATCATTATTTGTCACTCTTTCTCACAAAAATGATTGTACAGGCTGTGGTGTAGGTGTTAACATCAAAACTACCTGTAAAATATAACAGCAAGCTCTTCTCTTTCTGTAATGGGATAGTTGAGCTTACCAGCAATCTGTGTTTGACTATTCAGCTATGAATTTTATTCCCCAATGAAAATGGGAAGAGTCTGAAAAGGAATTTGAAAATCACTTCTATAATGGTATGACAAACCAATGCAGGATTGTCTGAAGAAAATACTGCTTTATATATTTCAGATGAAAGAGTTCAGCCATATGGCCTCTGCTTATCTCCTTTTAGCATTGGATAAATATTAATATGCTGCTGTTTCCCCACATCTAACAGAAATGCCAATTGTTTTCCCTTCTATCTAGTATAAGGTACCTTGTACCTTTTTCTTTTTTCTGTATCTTCCCCCTCCTCCACCCATTCATTGCACATTTTGAGCAATTGCTGTTACCACCTACAGGAGCTTTTGAAGTCCTTCTTTTTCATCCTCCGCCTCATCATTGTCCCACGCGGGCTGGTGGAGTAGAGGCTGCGAGGTAAGGTCCCCATGTTCAGGGAACTCAGGCTGTATGCACTCATGGAGGTAGGAGAGAAGGATGAAGACACCAAAGCTGCTGTAAGAAATCAAACACTTGGCAAACAGCACTCAGTGCAGCACATGCCTATAACTCATCAACGAATTAAACCATGCGTATGATGCACAGGAATGGTTTGTGCATTTCTGATAACAAAAACATTAAACCACATAGGTGACCCTGGATAGAAGTACAGCCAGCGTGTCATGAAAATATCTGCTGGGAGCTAACAAAAGTCTTGTAGAAACAAAAATTACATTCATAATAGACATCTCACTTTAGGAGAAGTATATTAAATTGTTTTTTTTAACACATTCATGAATCAATACAGACCAATATATCTATTTACACTGATTTTAGAAATGCCTTTTTGTAGTAGGTAATTTCTGACAAAAGATTTGTAGGCTATGCTTTGCATTCAAAGATTGTATTTTATATATACTACACAAATCTAACGGTCTACTCATATGGAAAAAAACAAACAAAAAAAACCCCACAAACAATCAAACAAGAAAAAAACAAACAGGTTCATCCAGAGTTCTCAAGCCTTTTCCTGTCTACAGAGGTTGCCTTGTTATAGTAAAAAAAAGGCATAAAATGTCAGAAATAACCTTGGCATGGCTATGAAAAAGTGTAGCATCCATAAAACTGAAAAGGTTTTAGTGCCTGAAATGAGAAAACTATGAGTGAAAGAAGAGGGAAGGGAAGAAGAGGAAGAAGGAGGAGAGAATATGTCAGCAGGAAAAAGCATGGAACATTACGAAGGCTTTTTTGAGGAGACGTTTTCTGGAATTTCAAGGCTGGCATCCTGCAATGGTCAGGGTGGTACGTGTTATAATGGTGGTAGGTGAGGAGGTTGCTGTGGCTGTTGGCACACGAATCCCAGGTAAGTTGCCTGTTGCTTCTTTGAACCTTCACTGCCCACATGAAGGGATGACAGAAAATCAGAAAACAAAAGGACCAGAGAAGAGGGAAAGGTAACTGAATTACATAAACAAGCAAACAAAAAGTCCTCAAATTAAAACAAACTGAAAATAAAATAAATGAAATAATAAATAATCTGGTCTTCTCTTCTTACTAAGGGGTGCTAACTTGGGAACAAAAAAGATATTTCTTATTAGAATAAATGCTTCTGATTTGTCTGTTTAGTTTCTTGTATTATTTTTAAAAGATTAGTACTGAATCTATTTGAGATTCTTTTATTTTTTTAGAAAATACTAAGAAGGTATCATATATAACCATTAACTGAAGATTAGTTAAACTTTCTGCTTGCATTCATTGACATTAAGAAATAAAATCAGATACTATACATCGTGGTGCCTACAATGGCGATGTTTACATGCTGGTCATTTCAATTTACTGCATTGACATTTTAATTTTGGCAGCATATATTGTTGGCATTTTGCTATTCTGTGCCACAAACGTCCTCCTGGGCCACAGCACAAAAATTCTATCCTGAAACCTGATTAATAAATAAAGCAAAAATCTAGGGCTCTTGTTATTTAGATGTGCAATTTTTAAATTCTCCGTCTTTGAAACTTTAAAATAGCCTCTTCCAGATAAAATTTGGGACCAGATTTGATTGCTGATTCTAATTATGGAGAGTCCAGCATAGGCCAAAGGTGAAGGCCAGCATTTACCAAGAGAACGGGAAGCATTTCAGCTGATGTATCAAAAATTAAAGGAAAATGACCGAAGCCGCCCTTCAGTAAAAAGTCTGGTCATCATTAAACTCAGCACAGCTGTGTCTTTGCTGAACTGTAAAGGAAGACTGCAAATTCTAAACTGTTCACTGATTTTTTGTCTTCAAAAAACTGCAGGGTACACCCATACTGTGAAACATAAGTTGCTGTATTCAGCCCATGAGCTGTATCACCTATAAGGGCTACATACACATACCGAGCCCATGACGAAATTCAGCAGTAGCATAAAGTCTGTCAGTTTAGGCGGGGCCCAATTTGTGTTCACATCTTACTATATGAGACGGAGTAAGGGGAAAATGGAAGCCACTGCAGAAAGCACCATGAAGTGCCAGAAAAAAAAGCTATAGTTTTGTTTCACTTCATATTACAGGAGCAATGATTGGTTGTCAGAATGTATTAACCCTTCTCTGACTAAAAACCCACGGGTGATGTGACAATGAAGTACATGAGGGAAGGGAGTGTACAGAGGCCTAACCCATCCTTGTGGCTTCATGGAGGGGTTGGGGTTCTGGGGCCATTGGCACAACCAGGCCCAGCCCCATCTTGGGGTGCCCTGGGCCTGTGTCCCTCCCTGAGGGCACCCCCTGCCCTTGCTGTCCAGGAGCTGCTCTGATTACGAGCTTGCACCAAAATATATTTTTTTCTATATTCATTTTCCTCAACAGGTAACAAATGAGGTAAGGGTGGCTCCCAGGAAGGGAGGCACATGATGCCAGCACCAGGCAGCAGCACTCGAGACACAACACCACTACTGGCCACCTCATAGGCTTTAGAAAATCTCTAATGTCAAACAAGGAAAATCCCAGGAACAGTAGCAGTAGCCTGATACAGTACTATGTATCTAACAGGCTTACCACATTTTCTCAAATGAAATTGTCTCTTTGATTAATGCACACAGATAGCAACATTTCTGGACTTCAACTATGGTGTAAAAATTAAAATGTGGTGAGAACAATGTGGCCTGGTGGATTTTCATTATTTTCAAGTTGCTGTGAGCCTTGTTTGATTAAAAAGACTGCTTCCAGCAGGAAATCATCTGGTAATTTCTGATTTTTTTTTTCATGTTTTATTTTCATACAGAGAGTAGGGATAAAAGTGTCCTAGAAAGTAGGAAGGTACACAAATTCAGTTTGCTCAGCTTGTTGAAAGATAATCCCAGCTCAACAAAAGTTCTGTAAAAGGAAATCCTATCGTGTGTAACAGTAGTAATTTACTGGTAATTTGAGCTATTCCAACCCAGGGTTGTGTACAGCCAGCATAAAACTAATGGGGCAGCAAGAGAAATGAATATTAGCAGCACAGCGAAAAGGAAAAAAAGAAAGAAAAAAAAAAAAGAAAAAAAAAACACTGATCTTTTATAATGTTCTCCATTTTATTTTAGGGCTAAAATTTCAATTTATTTTATATACTGACTTTCCTGCCCATTTTAAATTCCTATCACGTTCCCAGAAGACCAATATCTGAGCTCAACAGATACAGCCTTAATGACTCAGCTTATCCCAGACATGTAAAGGGAGCTTTTCGAATTCTGCAGCATCTAGGCCATACCACACCTGATGGAAGGTTGTTTCCAAAAGGATACTTGCTTCCATAAAGCATGTTACATCTTGAATTGGTTGTGATATTGGAGCTGCACCGCCTAGTGAGGGGCTGGGAAGGGCTGTAAACATTCTAGTTATTCTGGCTTATTTGAGAAAGCAACTTTATTACCTTAGGGAGATTTCTCCCCAAAAGATGTGCTTATGTAGTTTTTGCAGAGCCCCTTGATATGCTTTTTTAATGGCCAGTTCCCAAGCTTGGCATGGCAAGAGCATTGCTTATCAAAGCACCTACACTAGTTGAAGGTGACTAGCACATTAACAGCATCAATTTGTTTTAAATTTTGGTTAGGCAGCGAAGTGCTTCAGGAAATACAATCGACTAAACAAATATTTGGCCCTGGTACTGATCTTCCCCAAAGAAACACTCTTCAAAGGTTATTTAAATAGCCAAAAAAAAAGTATGATATATTTGTTATAAAAATGAGGGATCTGCTTGTAGCATACTGTTACAATTGAAATAGATGGAATTATATTTCGAAATTTGCTCTACAATTCATTCTGTTTCTGCAGTCCCACTCCCTGTTCCCTTACCCCTCTGAACAGCTTAAGTAAAAAGGGGAAGGATGTGCAACTGAATAATGTAATAAAATGGTATCAGAGGGGTTACTTTTTTACACCCTTGATCTAGGACAAAACTAGTGTCTCCTCAGCATTAGCTCAATATTCACCACTCTGACAAACTGACTAGAGAATTACTTCTCCAGGAACAGTCTGGATAGTAGACAGATGTCCAAGAACGTTTATCATCACTGAAATTTCTAGGCTTCAGAAATCTTGTCTTGGTCTACAGGAGTGTCCTGGTTTCAGTTAGCACAGAATTAATTTTCTTCCTAGTAGCTGGTGGAATGCTGTGTTTTGGCTTAGGATGAGAAGAGTGCTGATAACACCCCGATGCTTTAATTGTTGCAGAGCAGTGCTTATACTAAGCCAAGGACATCTCAGCCTTTTGCTCTGTCCTGCCAACGGGCAGGCTGGGGGTGCAGTAAGAGCTGGGAGGGGACAGACCCAGGACAGGTGACCCAAACTAGCCAAAGGGGTATTCCATACCATCTGACGTCATGCTAAACAATATATAGGGGTGGCTAGCTGGGGGGAGGGGGCCGGACTGCTCGGGACTGCTGGGCATTGGTCAGCGGGTGGTGAGCAATTGCATTGTGCATCACTTGTTTGTACATACTATTACTTTCATATTATCACCATTGTATCATTATTATTATTATTGTTATTATTATTATTGTTATTATTATTTTCCTGTCTTATTAAACTGTCTTTATCTCAACTCACGGGCTTCACTCTCCATTTCTCTCCCCCGTCCCAGAGAGGGAGGGGGGAGGGTGAGCGAACGGCTGCGTGGTGTTTAGCTGCCAGCCGGGTTAAACCACGACAAGGAGGCAGAGGCACAATATCACAGGTTCAGAAATTGCAAGTGTTGGTTCATGCTGCAACACAGGTACCTGTTTTCTATTTGATAACCCTTGTTAGTTCTTTGATATCCATGAACATGGTATTTTAGATCAAATTTGTGAATACTGTGAGTTAGCCACTTTTTCAGGAGTAGTTAGAAGATAAGACAGGAGGTTTCCATCTTCAAACATGATTACATTTTATATATATTTGACTTGAAAATGGAAAACCATTCTCTTCAAGCACATCGGTATGAAATAAATAACACAGTGAAAATGGGCTAGCATCTAGGTAACTGTTCCCAAATCCTTTTTCATAAGCACTACCAATGCACCCATGAAGCAATCTCAGAAGTATTTTTAAAATATTATGGCAATAAGTAATAATGCTATACGCAAGAGAAAATAATTATATCTGAAGCATTTTGAGAGAGAACAAGTCTATTACTGAAGTTGTCATAACAGACTACGAAGTTAGTATGCTGAAAAGAAGTTATCAGTGGCTCTTCCTCCCTGCTCTACTTTGAAGAATCAAATCAGTTGCCCCCCTCAGTGATTGCAGCAGTAGAGTCAACAGGTGTCTTTGTGTACATTTACAAGTGTGCAGAGCCTTTTCTCAGTAAAATATTTCCCTCTCTACCTGTAGGAATCTCAGAGGGTGCATTAAGGCTGAGAAAACACAGAGCTGCTCAGAATCTGTGGAAGCATAACCTGGGGAGCTGAAACAACATTTACAAGCATAACTGCCATCATAGCATTCTTGGCCATTCAGCAAGAGCAGAAAAAGTCAAAGACAGGAAAATAAAGCAGTATTAGGTGCCACAGATCCTCTTACCGTGCTCTGGGCCTTTCAGTGCTAGCCGTGTCTGGTGGTGAGGGAGGATCTCAAGCTTGACATTATCTGCTGCGTTAGCAAGAAACTGCGTTGCTTCTGCCAGCGTACAGTACTCCATGCTGGTGCCGTCAATGGACAGAATATGGTCTCCTACATGCAATGCGCCACATCTACACAAAAGGGGAAAAACTCCGTATGATCAGGTATGTTTTCTGCTGGGAAAGTGAGTTTTACTGCCTTCAAACTGGCCATGACAACTATGAGCGTGTTCTTTCTTTTTCGAGAGAGATTTGTGTTTTGTAGGCATTGTCACTGGTCAGACTTTATATCTATTAGTACGAACCTTAAAAACAATTCAGTTAATACAGTATATGCCGAGACATAACTCACAGAACTGGAATGGGGTAGCTGACTACTAAAATATGCGTGAATGGCAGCAGAATAAAATGAGAAGAGCTTAAGGAGACTCAAATAACTTGGTCACATATCCCTCACACAAGCACCCAGTTCATCATTTTTTGAGTTATAGTTCAAACATTAATTAGTACAAAAGCTGTAAATGATGATGAAATTATGCAGTAATCAAACAAATAATGAAACCAGGGCTAGCATGGTGACTTGAGGAGTGGGGTGGGGAGGGGGCTATCTGCTAAATCTTGCTGCACTCAAGAGACTGGCTACTGGATGAGTTGAGAAATGCAAACACAGCAGTCAGCATCCCGACGTACCAGTCAAGTGGACAGCTCCTTTAATTGGTTACCCCCTGTGAAATGGGAAAAAAACAGAGGGAGAAAATTAAAGCATCCTGCACCATTGAACTGGAGAACACCCCTGGATCAATGGCCGTCATTCTCAAAGTTTCTACTGTAGGGAAAAGCCCACAGAGGAGCTGTAGACTCACTGCTACAAGTGGGTGCTACCTAAAGCACCATTGTCAAAGAGGAGTTACAAGGTAGGGTGACTGGGAACATGCAGGAGGAATTTGCTGCTGAAACGTAATATTTAGGGAGTTTTTAGATATAGGTATGTATATAGAAACATACTGTTTATGTATAAACACACACACGCACGCACACACACCCCAAAAAAGATCCCACAGCTCTGCTACAGAGTTTTAGAACACTAAAGAAAAATATCTATCTTTTTCTTTCCCTCAATTTTACATACAATCTGACCTTAATATAGTAGAATGAAGTTTAAATGAAGTAAAAAAAATACTGCAAAATAACTTCAAAATACAGAAGTCAGTCTGCCTAATACCTCAGTTGTACTCTAAAATTTTAATAGGAAAATCCAGACATAAGAAGTTCCATTTCACTGTAACACAAGAATGAACAATATATTCTAAAAGAACACTTCAAGGTTGCAAAGCCTCAGAATTAACTTCCCTTGACAGCTGTTCCATATTGTGGGCTTACTTTAAGAATTCCAGTGGGGTATTTATTTTTTTTTAAATACTAATCTCTGCTGCAGCATTACATTTAACAGTCAGAGTAGGCCTCTAAACTTCTGTGTTGCATAGTGCAAACAGACAGGCACATATTGTATTGGGGCTGGCTTATGTCATTGAAAACTCTGTGAACGTAACATAAATGGTGCCCTGGAATTCTTAAACTCTGCAGTATGGAACAATGATCTGACAAAGTGCTAATTTTAAGACCTAGCAACCTTAATAGCATCTGGCTCGGTCAAGTTCATCTAAAAAAAAGGAGGGGGTTATTTAAAAAACAAATAAACAAACAAACAAAACAAAAACAGAAATAAAACGGATGTATGGAACTGCAGTGTCAGCTCTTTGTCGCACTCACCTGTCTGCAATACTCGCAGATTTGATTTTGTCTATGACAATGACCTGTTTGTTGCAGCACATCGAAGTAGACAGTGCAACCCCAAGAGCAGCACCAGGAGTTTTGGCAACTTCAACAAGTAGTGGCCCAGATGCCGTTGCTACTGACTCTGTTAAAATTAGACAACAAAAAATTAGTACTATACCAACTGCATTATTTACCTCATTCCCACATAAAATCTCTATTGCTATTCTATTTCTCTACCCAGACAACATGCCACATAAAGACACTCTGGAATATCATCAGTTCTGGAATATCAAGTAACAACTTGTAATGTTGAAACCGATGAAAGCAAGAGGTTTGTGAATCTGAGATATCTGGAAGTTCATTGCATCAGAATCTGAGATGGATGAGGATGGAGGACCAGGATGCGTTTGAGAATCAGTCTTTTAAACAACTGAAGCTAAAAACCACATGAGATTTAAAATGGGCATGCTGAAGAAGCAAAACTAATAAAAAAGTAGATGATCTGAAAAATGAACTGAGTTAAAGAGGTTACATAAGGATGATAAATTCATTTTTAGAAAAGAAGGGGAAGATGGACAGGTGTTATAATAATTCAATGAAGGTGAAGAAAAGGTCCATCAGAAATCCCTCACAAAGAAATAGGACAATTTAGGTGAAAATGGAGAAAGTGCAGGAGGCATGACAACCAGAAATAGTAGGAGTTAAAGCAAAATGCACGGGAGGTTGTGCAGTAGATTCTTGTGGTATCCTGTCATGGGATAAAGTACTTCCTTACGATGGGTCACCGACAGTAGTTGACCAAACACTGAAGAAAGAAAGCAGAAGCCTTCAGAGGTGCTTACAACCAGAACAAGGGAAAATGTATAAGTAGAGACATAAAGTTACCAAATGCCCCACTAGAGAACAGGAGAGATTTGTATTCGCAGAGTACTGGAACCTGCTATAAAATACAAGGAAAATGTTCAGCTGCAACGTTTCTCAGAAGCTGTAAGAGAAATGCAGTTGAAGTAAGGAGAAGATAGATAGCAAGGTATTCCGTTCAGTCTCAAACCCAGAAAATTAGTCCAGCAATGTAATTCTGTCACAGAAGAGAAAGACTGTGAAGCAGCGTACTGCTGTATAATGAGACCTTTGTTAACTAACTCTCAGGTAAGGTGCACTTCTTAGCTAGAGAGTAATGTAGGTAAACTGAATATAGAAATTAAAAACGTGCCTGGATGGAGTAACATACAATACCACTAAAGCATCAGTTAATAATTATAGAACATCCTTTTCCCTCAAGAACTGAAGTCATTTTTATATACACGTTGCCTTTTTTCGAGCTAGAAACTTGAGGGTTAGAAGAGGAGATTCAGTATTTTTGAAAGTGCCCATTAATTCTGAATGATTTATTTTTGAGCCCAGCTAGGAATGAATTATTAAAAGCTGAACTTCCACAGGCACCACCAAAATAGGCTGCTCTGCACATCTGAACCAAACCTTACATTGCAATCCCAGAAGAGAGTCCACCAGAAGCACTCATGCCTGGTGCTTCGGGTATGAAAGGATTACAAAGCTGGGTGAACTGACCCTAGCAGCTACCTGTCTTTCTCTAGTGACTAAAAGAGGCAGTCACAGCAACTGAGATCCTGTCTTAGATGCCTTGGGTAAGTGTCTAAGCTAGGCAGGATGCATACAGTGACTTCCATGCAGCCAAAAAGCATGTGTGGCAAAGCAGAATTTAATAATTCCCAATTCCTATTTCTGTGCTGAGGAACATTTGTATTCTTGAATATTGCATTGTTTTCTGGAACTACAGACAAGCTCATATTTACAAACATATGGGAAGAAGACTTGAAGGACAGTTGTCATGAGTACTGTGACGAAGGTTTGAACTCGGGTGGATCCAGAAAATGATAAAGCTCAACTTGTTACTGGCCTGTCACAAGTTTGTTCTGCAGCAATCGCCTTGAGAAGAAGAGTAGAAACTATATATTCAAATATAATCTGTCAAGAATGAGTAAATCTTTCAAGATGCTGCTCCAGAGTTACATGAGAAATGCACAATCAGCTTATGCCCCAGCGTTATTTCCCAGGTGCCTGTTAAAAAGCACTGGGAAGGCAAACCAAGGCCGACAGGATGAATAAATAAGATAACTACATTAGAGCAACCAGAAGAGAAGAAGTGGAGTGTGTCTAACTGTGGATAATAAACACAAGGAAGAGAAATCAGAGGGCAATAATCAAGCACACATTCCCTGACAGAGAAGGATTAGTTTATCATGTTGAAGTAAAGCATGGGTATGAAAAATGAATCATACAGGTATAAATTATTCATGTGTGGAGATGTTTCAGTCATTAAGATATTTACACCATGACTGAAGCACTTACAGACTATGTTGATTTATTGGCTACGTAATTACATAAGATATACTGATGAATGCTTGCATGAAAAACGCTCTAGATTTTTGATTCTGTTAATAATTTTTCTCACTTTTGGGCACTGCATCTCAGTCAGTACACAAGGCTTGATTAAAACCTCTCAGAGGAAGAAGCATTGCTTTCCGCATGCTGATACATTTCTTCAGTTAGCTAGTAGGACACCTTTTTTATTTGACAGCTTTAACCACCTGCAACAAGGGGTTTTTCTTATTATTTTTTTATTCCAAATATATTTTTATGTTGTATAAATATACTACATGATGCATAAAAAAGTTTTGGATAAAATAAACATTGTCACAACCTCAAATGATAATGAGAAACAATTCTGAAAGTTGAAAAAAACAATTTTTTAGTCTGATTTCCAAATGGAAATGAAGCCTTCATGACCACATTACGTGTAGTTGTTCATATACTCAAAAATGTATGTAGCTACTAATTCTTCCCTATCCTCATGGCTTAACTGCTGAGTCCAGCTCAACAGCTGGTGGATGCCTGAGGACAGAAAACCTCTTTAGGACTCCAGCAGTGGGACAGGCCAAAAAGCAAGCTGCTTGTATTGGGCAACAGAAAACCTACGTGGGAAACAGTGCTTATAAATGCCCTAAAATAGGAAAAGCTTCAATCATAGCTTGCAATCAACAATGACACTAAATCCACGGGAAACTAAACTCTATTAGTCTATGACGTCGTATTTTTTCCCCCCTAAGGCCTCTGGTACTTCAAGCTGGGAAGCGCTGACATGCAGTGAGCATGTTCTTGTAGGGACACTGTGCCCTGTCGCTACTGTCTCTGCTTCACATTTCTCTAACTGGAAAGTTTCTGGTGCTTTCTTATATTTTTCAGAAGTTATACCAAAATAAATATTTTTGAGTGGTTTTAAAGAGACAGACAAGGAGGAAGTATGTCAAAACAGACTTTGTCTCTAAAGAGGTAGCTGAACCAGTCTCTCCACAAAACTGCTATTGATCTTGCCTTTATGCTGCTGTATCTTCTACCAATAACACGAGTGAGAATGAAGTGGATGACTTACTATCTCACACTGATTTTTCTCTTGCTGAGCTTCTTCCCTATTACATGTTCACAGACTAACAATTTTTTCACCTTAAAAACGTATAGAGCAGGTCCATGTTGTTGTGATTCTCTGACTGAAAGCAGTAAAATACATGTACATGTGATGTATATATGTGTATGTAGCAAGTCTGCACTGGTTCAGATCGGTAAATAAATACAGTTCCTCAAACATTGCAGTTCTCCCATTGCAAAGTTTCATTTTTCTGTAGTAATGCATTAACATATCTAAACGTGTCTCAGTCCTGTCACAAGAGAAGCCAGTATTTCACAGAAATAATTTTTCTTGATCACAAATGTGCTCTCTCCTGCTCCTCACATCTTTTTTGGTTCCCTTCATAAAGAAGTTTTGCAGCCCACAGACAGCAAGTGGGAATTTTTTTCTAGTTAAGGCTCAGGATTTCAGGTGTCAGACATCCCATAGGTTTACGGTCAGGAGTTTGGAGTATTTGCCATTCCTTTGGAAAACTACAGTGCTGAAATGTGAAAATCAAAGTTGATGCATTTTTTACACGGCACTTAAAATCCCTGGCCAGTTGTACAGATTTAAGCCTGGGTAACCAGCCCAAAGGCCAGGCAGAATTTCTAACAGACTGGATGAATTTTGTTTCTAAAAGCCACGGCTTTAGCAGTTACAGTCTCCAGTTAGTCTATTTTGCAAAGCCCTTTACAGCACTGCTCAGCTAACAATGGAGCACTGTAAAAGCACTCAGGGATTCTGCATGCATTCACATCCACTTTTCTTCACTTAACTGACAAACTATTCATTACTGTCAAACAGCATCTTAAACACTTAATGAATCTTGTCATCTTCCATGTGGTTTGCTTATTGTATTCTTAAGGACTTTTTTTTTTTTTTTAATGAATTTTGAATGCTCAAAAAGAGCATTCTTTGTGTCCATTGAAACACTCTTTCTATGACTGATACCCTTAACATTGTCCAAACTCACAGTCCAGTGGTGGCACCATCATATCCTACCTGTGATATTGACACTCATAATAATACCATGACCCCACCACTTCCCTTCTCTTGTTTTTCTGAGGCTGACCCAGTGAGAGGTGGTCAACCTCTTCCAACTGCCCATCTTTTCCATGGTCTCAAGGGAAACAGGAATCAAACTCAGAAATGGCTAGTTCTTTTTACTGTGCAAGAGAAAGACTTGCTGGGAGTGGGGAGGCTTTTTTCCACATCTGTCCTCTCTCCGTGAGTGCTTCTCTCCACTGATACCTTTTTCCTTCCCCACATTTGCTGTTCACCAGTTCATAAATACAAACAGATGAGAAAACACACTTCTGGATGCACCAAGTCACACACAGCCACTTCCTAAAATATGTCTTAGGCTGTCTTGCTAGCATTTTTTTCCTTCCTTTCTAGGGGCATTTTCACTCACTCACTCACTCACTCACTCACTTACTCACTCACTCACTCACTCACATTTAACACCAACTAGATGATTACCTAGGTCTCCCTAACACACACACAGCTGACTGATGGTTATTTAAATACTAATATTTTGGGGGTGGGAGGCTGCTTGTTTATGTAATCCTCTTTCCTTGTACTTCGGAGATAATTTGATCTCAACAAATCCCTAATCCCCATTTTGCTAAAAAGGGAACATTAATTACAAATTTCTTTAAAAGATCTAATTAAGA